CTCCAGAGGCCCGAAAGGAGCCGAAGAGTCTTAGCCAATCAGAGTATGAAGGAACATCCGAGAATTCCAACGTGGCGTGCTACTATTGGTCGGTAGCATAATATGTCGTTAACGGATTGGCTGAAATATGATGCTGATTTAACAGATGCCAACATCTATGATTTTCTGTATAAAAATGAACCTTGGGATAAAGTATTTTCTGTCATACTTGCGTCTTCTCTCTGGTGTTCAAGTCGCTGTGTAGTTCTAGTCTGCGGGTTACCAGAATAGCTTAGGAAAACGAATATAGCGTTCGATCGACAAGACTTATCAGTATAACTTCTTTTATCTTTTTGGTGTATGAGTATGTTTGGGAAAACTCGTCCGGTAGGTATTATTTGAGTAAAGTTACTCTTTTCAATTCTTTCATGAATAATTATTGTTCAAGATGAGGTCATTATTATTCATATATTCATTTTCTCTAATAATTATCTTTCCTCGATTTATCACTTCCATAGTATGTTTTCTCATTCACTGTATTAGCTTATTCGGCGAGACTGATTTATGGATGACCTCTGAACGAATCTTAAGTGACCTTGAAAACTATTAGCCAATCAGAAGACAGTTAGTCTGAAGTAAAAATATATTATAAAAAACTAAAGAATTGAAGTGGATATTCTTGTACACGATTCAAAAACTTATTAAGGTTTGAAAGAGGTTCAGAGGTTCTGAAATCACAGTGCATACGGTATAGGAACTCATCCATATGGCTCCATAACAGTCGATCTATGCAACCGTGATTAAGTCTTAAAATATCCTTTAGCCTGGACCATATGGCTCCAATATTACTAGTGTGAACACAGGTCGTAGGGTCGACAAAATGGCGCTTGTGCACAACAACATGATGCACATACCCAAGTCTATGTAGGCATATATATACGCTCTCCAATCATCTGTATATGTCGTAGTGCACGGCTGCACATATTCCTGTATAACTGATATTATTGTGGTTGCTTGCCGGTTTCTAACCCTTTGCAAATGTGTCTTTTGCGTTGATCGGTGATAAATTCCAAGTACCTGTCAGGTATATTTACGGAAGTGCTACTTAACCAGTCTTTCCTTATATTAGGTCCTCTGTTATATTTCCGCTTCCGTACTACTGTTTCATCTATTTCAACAATACTCCCAACTTCTCAGTACGACTCGTGTAAACGCGTCATTTTAATTGCACATATATCCCTGAAATACTCAGTAACGTCTGCAAATGCTGCACCCAGTGTTACTGGTGCTTTTATTATCCAATATGCGACAATTATCGTGATTTGTCTCAGTCTCAATAGCGATCGAGCGAAGAAAGTGCTCGTTCGAGCAGACTTCTTTCTACAACATAAAGAACATCGAGAGATAATGTCATCACGATAGTTTGAACACGGTACTGAAGTCATTTCATTGCCGCAGTCACAAATGAAGGAGCTTCGTAGTAATCACGTCTTCTCTAAAATCTGCTGCAAACCGATCGTACGTGAGCATCAGGTACTAAAATTGGTGTCGTGACCTTGAAATCCCCCAAACGCTTGTTCTTGGCTCGTCCATGAATTAGAGTCTCACCGTTTATTCTAGTAAACAAAGTATTTTGGTGGTTGACATATTGATTCATTGTGCCTGATTATTACTGTTTGACTGGGGTGAATTGATTTATCCCTTAACGATGGAAATAAGTTACAAGCATGTTAACGGCAAGTTATTATGATGACAAGTTATTATCATTATTCATAAACAAGTTATTGATGGATAAGTGTTGTAAATAAACAATTTCGGATTTCCTCACAAATACAAGTATACACAAGAGTTTCAACAATGTTTACGTAATATCCACAATATGTTTACAGGTTCTGTAATATTTCTCTTCAAAAAGTATGTGTAATAACTATGTTTGTCAAAGAGAATGAGGATAGACAGTTTTATATATATTACACATAGAATTTAAAAGAAATTATCATCATTGTATGAATTGATAGTGGGATAAAAGTCAGAGCAGTAACAATTTAGATGATGCAATAAAACTCTCAGTTAAAAGTAAAGAACAATTGTAAAATATGAATTTTTAGGGTGAATATTTACGTTGTGAAAATAAAATGAATCTGGGAAGTTAATTTATTTGAGTAAGTATATTTAATCAAGAAATCTGGAAGAGGAAAAGTAGAATATCTTAGGTTTATCAGAGGATCAATCATAATAATAATAATAATAATAATAATAATAATAATAATAATAAATGAGAACATGAGCGGATTTTGGATATTTACATGAAAAGTTAAAAGCTTATACCTTCATTTATAGTTAATTAAATAGATGCTGAACCTTCTTTTTATAAATCATTAATAATTACACTGACATTTAATAGGTGACACAAGTAACTTTCGAGAAGACTCTTGAACTGGGTTATAATTTTACTACAACAGGGGCTTCCTAGGAGTTTGTTCCACCTAGCGAATAACGAAGAAATTCTGGCGTAAGTTTGCTATCGACTGGCCTTTTCATTAGGCTACTTTTGATTGACACTTCATATCATCAGTGCTTCCAGGTTTTCAATGGTGGTCTTGCTTAGATCGATTGGTGAATTCAACTGTAAAAATATTTTAATGTTCAGTCATGAGAAAAGAGATTTTAAAAAGTTACTTCTTCATTCTACTTGTCGTTTTAGGTGAAACATTATTCTTTCCGCATCTGGAAGTAGTAAAAAAAAGGTGAAATCAGTTCCAAACGACGAAATATGGTCGCAACGGAAACTCATTAACCAATCCACTTTGTATTCTGAAATCCCAACAAACACAAATTCTTCATGAAACGTCAACTGTACACCAGATTACGGATTCACACCTTTATCAAGAATCTCTCTAATCGACACAAACACTACCAGACAAGACGTTTAAGATTTAGCATCTACTGTTCCAATTAGTGGTATTTAATGTAATCTCAATACAGAAGACGTGATTGATTGATTGTTCTCTTCTTAACGCTATCAATGTTCAAATAGACTTACTATCCACTAGCCCTATGACATCAGGAGTGGTTCCTCGAAATATGCGTTTAGTTAGCACCGATTGAAATTATCATGCCATATAGAAATTATACCGTTTTTTCCGAATATAAACAGGTTCATTAACCCAATAAAAGTTTGCTAACATTTCAAGGGAAATCCTACAGGCCAAAAATACACTAAGATCCTGGCTGGTAGAAATTCTGTAGTTAATAGTGGGAAATTAGTGTCTTAACATACCAGCAGACAGACTTACAAATAATGAATGAAAATGTGGAAATTATTAGTCTTATCTCAACAGGGTGTTTAATAAAAAAACAATGCACGCGGAAGCTGTAATGGCTTAGTTTCGTTAATCAGTCACTTTGCCAAATAATATTAAAAAAAACCTGACGGTGTTTGAAATCAGAAGGCAATTATAATCTACAAGCATATAGAGCAGATTTGAAGCAGAGTGGCGAATGTTGTGCATGAGAGCGAATGCAAAGGCAAAGCCGTAAACCCTAAGTTAAATCAAAACATAATAATGTTATCGTGAAGAAAATGTGTGGAAATGTCATTCAATTATATAGACAGTGAAATTACATTCACAGATTATTCTATGAGTTTCTTTTAATGAATCATCGAAAATACCACATACATTAGTAATTTAATAGTTGAATTCATGAGTCGATTAAAGCTAGACCACCATGGAAAACCTGGAAACATTGGAAGATCGTTCCTTCATAGTATGGGACTTCTGTAATTATTGATTGTATCAGCTTCTTCAAACCTTATATATTACAGCTTTGTTTTAATTAAACCATTGTAAATGTTAAGCGTTTGTAATCTTTTAGAAAAAGCATACATTCTAAAGCAATGGTAAATATTTAAAAAATCTTGAATAGAATCACTATAACTGTTGACATATTTCCTCCTTATCTATTCCTTAATGAAACAAGAGGTAATTAAATGTAAACCAGTATAATATTAGCATCTTCTTAATGATGAATCTCATTTATTCATCAAAAGAATCGTAAATTGATCAGGTAAAGTTGTTCAGTTTAGGTCTTTCATGAAAATTCTGAATTTCATTTGAGAAGGAATTATCAGTGTATGCTACTCATCATACGATTAACAGCAATGACTAAAAATTCTGAGAATCAACCTGTTTTTAGTTGTTGTTGTTGTTGAAATACTATACGAAGATCGAAAAAAGTTTCCCAAGATACAACACACATACAATATTCTAATTAAAATTCACATATGACTATTAATCACCAGTTTGAAAAATCATTAATATCTACTTTTTAAATCTATATTTTCCAGTATTAATCACTCAGCTTAGTTACTCTACTTACCTAACTTAAATCATAAAAAATACTTCTAATCTGTTTCTATCGATTTTGTAATCAAATTAAAAGTATTTTCAATGGTTAAGATCATGAATCAGTTGAAGCTAGACCACCATGGAAAACCAGGAAGCACTGGACGGCCGTTTCGTCCTATTGTGGGACTCGTGAGCGGTGCGCATCAACGACCACTCCCCCTGCGAGATTCGAACCCAGGACCTACTGGTTTCGCGCGCGAGCACTTAACCACTGGACTTAGTTAGAATGTGAACAGAATTACTTAAATTATTTATCAATTACCATTTTTGTAATTTTATCATCCTATTTCTAAACGTTTGTCTTTTGTGTTATGTTTTGTTTGTCTTATTTCTTTTGTTTATCTAATACTTTTCTTTTCTCACTCATTAATGTAAACTTGTAAGTTTTGTCAATATTCATAGCAATACTACTTTTCTTTTCATTTGGTTTCAATACTATTAGTAATCATATTACAGTTACATATGTTTATAGCATATATTTGATTAGAAAAAACAAAAGAGAACAATACACTTAATGTTATTCAGTGTAAACAATCATTTCTAAAAATCATATGAAAGTTATTTATTTCTTGAATTATTTATTACTCAAATCGAAAGTTAAAATTCTACAACATGTACATTTACATTACTGGTATATTATGCACTATAGGTTTGATCATTTCACAAGGTAAGTAAAGTAACTAAGCTGAGTGATTTATACTGGAAAATATAGATTTAAAAAGTAGATATTAATGATTTTTCAAACTGGTGATTAATAGTCATATGTGAATTTTAATTAGAATATTGTATGTGTGTTGTATCTTGGGAAACTTTTTTCGATCTTCGTATAGTATTTCAACAACAACAACAACTAAAAACAGGTTGATTCTCAGAATTTTTAGTCATTGCTGTTAATCGTATGATGAGTAGCATACACTGATAATTCCTTCTCAAATGAAATTCAGAATTTTCATGAAAGACCTAAACTGAACAACTTTACCTGATCAATTTACGATTCTTTTGATGAATAAATGAGATTCATCATTAAGAAGATGCTAATATTATACTGGTTTACATTTAATTACCTCTTGTTTCATTAAGGAATAGATAAGGAGGAAATATGTCAACAGTTATAGTGATTCTATTCAAGATTTTTTAAATATTTACCATTGCTTTAGAATGTATGCTTTTTCTAAAAGATTACAAACGCTTAACATTTACAATGGTTTAATTAAAACAAAGCTGTAATATATAAATGTTTCAAAGGTTTGAAGAAGCTGATACAATCAATAATTACAGAAGTCCCATACTATGAAGGAACGATCTTCCAATGTTTCCAGGTTTCCATGGTGGTCTAGCTTTAATCGACTCATGAATTCAACTATTAAATTACTAATGTATGTGGTATTTTCGATGATTCATTAAAAGAAACTCATAGAATAATCTGTGAATGTAATTTCACTGTCTATATAATTGAATGACATTTCCACACATTTTCTTCACGATAACATTATTATGTTTTGATTTAACTTAGGGTTTACTGCTACTACAAATTTGTAAGTTTTTTACCATTCGGTTACCAATCATTATTGATTCTAATTCTATAGTTTTGATTAAGATTTTTGTTTTACTCAGAATCGGTGTTTTTTTGTATAAAACGAAATCTTTTTTGTATTTAATGTAAGTAACTGGCAGTAATTTATGGTTAACTGGATCCTTGTACTCAAAATGACATATTGACGTCGAATCTTAACAGTTTAGTATTTCACTTTGATTTATGATTATTAAGTTTCCTAAGTGTAGGGAGCAATTTCCTACAGGTTTAATTCTGAGCTATTCTTTAGACCGTCGAATAGAGTCTTGGTTTGGCCAAAGTCAGAACAAGCAAGCTATTTGGCTAGATAAACTTTATCTGTTTCTAAAACATAAATTAACATCGTTAGTGTACAAACAAACTGTACGATCTATTAATACAGGGAAAAAAACGGACAAATAACATACCGAACAGTAGCCAGAGGATAGGAAAAATGAGTCAACAAGTAAATATTGTTTTACAATGAACATCAAACTGTGATTGGTTTATAAAGAGATAGGGTCGTACAAGGTCAAAGGGAGTTAATGTGGTGGTGGGCGTTTCCCTTTATTATTGGTGAGTTCGTCTATCGATCACATTTTACACTAAGCCTAGAAAATATTTTACTTGAATTCAAGATTTATCTTTTCTTTAAAACAATTAGTCCCTTTGATAAATTTCGATAATGCAATGAGAAGACGTAGTTTATCAGAATTATGTGATATATTTGCGCAATACATTTCGAACAATCTGATCACACATATACTTGTTAAGAACATTTATATATGAAAAATTAAAAGGTCAACTAGACAGGTTAAGGGTAAGTCATAACAGAGGAAAAATATTAAAGTACACAAAAACAAATGTGATTACCACTCTGGACAGTAAATCAGTACTACCAGGGTAGGTTAAGTGTAAGTACAAATTGTTTTTGAACACATAAAGGGGGTTTCAATTTTCGTATAGCCAAGGCTTCAATAAACCTTAGTATACGTCCTTGAAGGCTTTTGTACAACACAACAAATGATGATTTGATATCAACCTTATGACCCGTCTCAATCAAATGTTTCGCAATGGATGATGATGTCTGTCTATCCTGTGGTCTTATTTCACCATTGGAATTCATCTGATTTTGCAACCATTTTGGTATATGTTCACCCACCCTTAATTGCAAATCACGATTGCTCCTCCCTACGTACGTGTTTCCACACATACATGTAACTTGTTAACCTCAAGTGCAAAATTATATCAGAACGAGTGAAATTGGATTTTTATAAATCTTGCTTATCTAATCACATTTTCCCGATTCAGTTATATAAGAATCTTCGTTCAAGTAAATTACAACCAAATATTCCAAATCTTATTAGACTGACGAAATCGTATATAGACAAATGCCATGATAAGTTGATCAATTTAATTGAACTTCATACTCAAGCATTACCTGTATTAACAGAATTGTCTATAGTTTGCCATATCAAATTCATCAATTTTTGTAGTACTGTCATTTTGAAAACAAAAGAAGGGATAAGGAAAAAGCTAGAAAAATCTTGCTGCAATAATAATAATCTCACTTCCTTCCCAATCAATCCTGATAAATATGTCACTAATTTGTCCTCCATTGTATTGTCTGTTCATGAAAAGGAGGCATTGTCCTTGGGTTTAAAATTTTCTGTTCCTATAACACAAATCTCTGAATTGACAGTCAATGCCCAATTTGAAAACCTCTATGATCAATTGAGTACTTTAACCCCTTCGTCCTTAGAGAATCAAAGTTGGTTTAAAGCCAAACTAGTGGATATAGCGCATCATTTTCATTCTTCTGGACCAAAGCAGAGAAGCATATTAACTTCTCAGCATTTCAAATCATTAAAAGAATTGCGAAATAATGCCGATATTATTATACTTAAACCCGATAAAGGATCTGGTGTTGTTATTATGAATAAGTCAGATTACAAAAATAAAATGGAATCCATTCTCAGTGATAAAAGCAAATTTTTGGCTGATGTTGACTTTGATGGATTACGTAAATTAGAAAAGAAAGTGAACTCGAATCTTGTGAAATTGTTAAACATGAATGCTATTAACAAAGATGAGTTTAATTTATTAAAACCTATGGGTTCGGCATATCCTAATTTATATGGATTACCGAAAATTCATAAGCCTAATACCCCCCTACGTCCAATTCTATCTATGTGTCGGTCACCTACACACAACCTGGCAAAATGGCTTACAAAATTATTAAACCCTATCAGAAATCAATATTGTAAGTATTCTTTGACTGACTCATTCGAATTAATTAATTACTTAAAGGATATAAATATAAAGACAAAGACAATGTGCTCCTTTGATGTAAACACTTTATTTACAAATGTACCTCTTAGGAAAACCATTGATATTTTGTGTGACTTTATTTCTTCGAAAACCCTTCCACTACCTTTTCCTGTTAAAACTCTTAAAGATTTATTATTATTATGTACAGATAATGTAAAATTCACATTTGAAGGTGAACACTTCAGACAAATAGATGGTGTAGCTATGGGCAGCCCTCTAGGACCATTGCTAGCTGATGTGTTCATGGGATATGTGGAAAATTTAGTTGGAGACTCAATTCGAAAGATGAGTCTGTATAAACGATATGTAGACGACATAATAATCATAGGTGATAAAATTGAAGACATAAGCCACTTGTTAGAAGAATTCAATAGTAGTCAAAACCACATTTCTCTTACATGTGAAGAAGAGAAGAACAACCAACTTCCTTTTCTTGACATCCTGATTACTAGGAGAGATGATGGTTCCATCAAACGTGCTACATATAGAAAACCAACATGGACAGGACAATATCTTAATTTTCATAGTCACTGCCCTATTCATTATAAACGTGGTTTAATAAAGAGCTTATTCAATAGAATCAATCGTATTTGTACTAGTGATACTATTGAAGTAGAGATGAAGCTCTTGACTGATGCGTTATTCAATAATGGTTACCCTTTGAAGTTCATAAACCGCTGGAAGGGTTGCAATATGACTAGACCTATGACGCTTCTGGCACCCAAAAAGCGAGTTTATATTACGCTACCATTCAGAGGTGACACAAATAGTCTCATGTTGAAACAGAGACTTAAATTAGCTATCAACCGGACATTTTATGCAGCCCAACTTGTCATTATCGAAAAGACAAGGTCTATGTTTCACCAAAAGCCCAAACAGCATGAAAACGATTGTGTCACATCCCATTGTGTCTATAAATTTACATGTATGTGTGGAAACACGTACGTAGGGAGGAGCAATCGTGATTTGCAATTAAGGGTGGGTGAACATATACCAAAATGGTTGCAAAATCAGATGAATTCCAATGGTGAAATAAGACCACAGGATAGACAGACATCATCATCCATTGCGAAACATTTGATTGAGACGGGTCATAAGGTTGATATCAAATCAGCATTTGTTGTGTTGTACAAAAGCCTTCAAGGACGTATACTAAGGTTTATTGAAGCCTTGGCTATACGAAAATTGAAACCCCCTTTATGTGTTCAAAAACAATTTGTACTTACACTTAACCTACCCTGGTAGTACTGATTTACTGTCCAGAGTGGTAATCACATTTGTTTTTGTGTACTTTAATATTTTTCCTCTGTTATGACTTACCCTTAACCTGTCTAGTTGACCTTTTAATTTTTCATATATAAATGTTCTTAACAAGTATATGTGTGATCAGATTGTTCGAAATGTATTGCGCAAATATATCACATAATTCTGATAAACTACGTCTTCTCATTGCATTATCGAAATTTATCTTTTCGTGTTAAACACAACCTGAAATTGGCTGATGATTGTACGCTGACCATGAATATATGAAGTAGATACAACAATTTTCTGAACAGAATCCATGAAACTACCAGTTTTCAATCATTCACTGAGATATTAACGCTGAAAATATTGAAGGTGCTCAAAGGTAGTTATTATTTGAAGCCTACCATTTTTATGTGTGCCATTTAAATTGACGTCTCTGTAAAACATGAATTATCTTGCGTGTAGCCACTTAATCTTTTAGAGATTTCAATCTTTGCAAATATCCAGGTTAACAGTTTCTAGGAATGTGCATAATTTATACAAAGTTCTCATATAGTTTACACAGCTCTAGAAAGCTACAAGAAATCTACTAGTGTTCTATACCTATCGAAACCAATGTACGATATATAGGCCTCAAGCAGATTATATTGCTACAGACGTATTACTATTATTATTTTTCCTATACTTCTGCTACAGTGATATCAACTTGTTTACTGTTATTTAGTCAACACTGATTGGTGTTATGCTTATGCTGAATTAGTGTAACCAATCGGAAGAGGCATGGAAGATATATTATGTAGCTAAGTGGTTCATGGGCTGGTACTTTGTCCAAGATAATTGTGTTCAGAGACATGACTGACTATAACACCATTCGTAATCTCTTGAACGATTTGTGACCATCAACCAATTATTTTTCGGCAACTGTTTAGATTAAATAACTGCAAAATAAGATGCGCTCATCTCTTATACCTCAGTCATTGATAAACAACAAAGTAATCTTCTCTGTTCAACTTTATTTGTACATACCAAGACGTAGAATATCTCCAATTCGGTTCATATAAAATAGGCTTTTACAGTAACATGTTTGTGTCTTTATTGTCAGATAAGTGACTAAAAACAGGTGATTAATGAAATTTAACCAAGTGTTTCTGATTGTTAATTTATCAATCTTTCTACTTCTTAATTGTAAGAAAATAACATAGGCATATGCTAACAAGATGTTCTTAAGACTATCAACAATGTAATCAATCATAGTTTATCAAATTTGATCAGTACTAAAAAGAACTAAACAAACATAATTTGATCACTATCAAATTATCGTTCAATTGTAGGTAGATTTTGTACATTTTAATTAAATCAATGATGCCTGTTGTTTACTATAAAGTCAAGTGAAAAATGTTTGTTCAATTACCATAAGAATGTTTAGTTCTATTTTAATAATAGTTCTGAAATATAACAATGATACGCTGAACTAAACTACCATTGAATCCATCATGAATATAAAGATTCATATTGTTATTCAGGATTCATTTATTTTAAACTGTTTATCTAAATTTTAAGGTAATTTATTTAGTTCATGTAATTGACTAATTTTTAATATACTTAAATATTAAAAAGGTTTCTATTTTCAGAAAGGGGGTTTTGTGGAGATTGTAGTAATTTAATAGCTGACTTCGTGAGTCGACTAAAGCCAGACCATTATGGAAATCTTGGAAGCACTGAACGGCTCAATGTCGTAGATTGGTTGAGGTTAGAAATTAACACCGTTGGGTGCCGTCTCATTGGTCTGGAGGTTGGGCGTTCGCGCGCGGAACTGAAGGTCCTGGGTTCGAGCCCCGCATGCGGGATCGTAGATGCGCACTGCTGAAGAGCATTACACTAAGGTGAAACAGCCGTCCAGTGCTTCCAGATTTTCCATGTTGGTCTAGCTTTAATCGACTCATGAATTCGACAATTTCTGTTTGTTTACAAATGTCAAAAGATTTCATTATTTCGCCTATAAACAATCAATAATTTTTATCTCATCGTTAAACTATTAATTAACACTTTTTGTTTTGTTTTGTTCTAGACCTGAAGATCAATTAGAGTGAATATTCTTATGTGTTGGAAATCGTTTTAAATAATATAATTTCTCAACTTTCTACAGTCAAAATTAATTCTAAGTTATTTTCATTTATTAATATCCTCTGTCATTTTCATCATTGCTATTAGGCCCTATGTAAATCCAATCTCATATTGAAAACAAATTTTCATTTGATTCTGAGTTCAGAGTGAAATCTGTAGTATAATAAAGTAAAATAATCTATGATGATTAAATAGTGTTGATTAATCATACTGTGAACAACCAAAAACGTTAAGATTAGTTATTGTTTGGAAATTACATAATCAAAAGTACAGAATGCCTAATTGTTGAAATGGTTGGTTAGCTACGCCTAAATGAATTGGTAGTATTTACAACAAATTCAAATATTTTGTGAATAACCAGTACAATTGGTTAATGTGTGTGATGTTTGGGAACAAAATTGATTGAGTAGTATGTACTGTTAAGTTTTCATATTAATATCAGTGAGATTAAATGTTAGTGCCTGAACATGTTGGTTTCCAGTCAAAACCATGGTTGGATTTTTAAATTAAGTTTCACTGAAACGTGTCAGTATCATGTTATTCTGTGAATTTTACAAGTAATTGCTTTAGCACTATCGAAGGTTAAAATCTCACTAATAGTAATGACTATCCGATTTGGATCCTATTTGTTGAGTAAACGTCAGATCCAATAAAGATTAATTTTAATTTTTACGAACATTAGGTGTAGATTGTATTACCTGTGCATTCAACTTATTTAATCAATTTACTCCTCTCCATGTATACAGGGATTCCGTTAGAAATAAAAGCTGTATAAATTATTAAGGTTAAAAAACCGATAAACAGGACGGTAACAATATATCAGTAATAGAATTATTTGACTGACTATTAGAATGATTGAAGCACCGAATAGTTTTTCCATTTAATTTTGAGATTTGTCGATTGTGTATCTGTCTGACTTACATTACAATAGAATGATCAGTAATCATTGTTATGGAACATATCTGTTTGTTCATTCCTTGCTTGATTTACGTACTTACTTACTTACTTACACCTGTTACTCCCAATAGAGCATAGGCCGCTGACCAGCATTTTCCAACCCACTCTATCCTTGGTCTTCCTTTCTAGTTCTATCCAAATGTTCATTTTTTCCCATATCTATCTCCATTTCTTGGCTTAATGTGTTCTTTGATCTTCCTCTTCTCCTTTGGCCTTGAGAGTTCTAAGTGAGGACTTGCCTTGTGACGCTTGACTTACTCTAAATATTAAAACACAAAGTTCATGATAACACATCAAGTCAAAATAATCAATAAATTTTAGTTAATTTGAAACAAAAGTACAAACATTCAGGTTTTTTTGGTTTTAATTTTTTATAAATTTATCATGGAAAGTTTCAAGCTAGTGATAGACGATTATTTCGGTTCAACTTTTAAATGATTTTTATTCCACTGATTGAAATCATGAATCAATTGAAGCTAGACCACCATGAAAAACCTGGAAGCACTGGACGGCCGTTTCGTCCTAGTATGGGACTCCTCAGTGAAACTTCTAAAATCTCCACAAAACCCCTACTAATTTTTATTCTTTAGGAATATTTATCAAAATGGTTTCAATTTATAATATTTACTATTTAAACAAGTTGGCTATTGAATATTTTCCTCACTAAGGTTAATATGATTTCTTAGTGAAAATGATTTTTACAAAATACATTATTATTTTATTGAATAATTTTGTTAATTCTTATCAAAATTGATTTACATAGTGAACTTAATATTATAAAGTAAGTGGATGCATTTGAGGTTAGTGTATATCAATTATCGATAAATATTATGATTTTCAAAACAGAATCTAAAATAAGCAGAGATAGATAGTGGTTAGCAGTGGGATGCACAACGCACGTTTCATCTTATTTGTGACTCGTAAATTGAATGTACCTGTACCCCAGAGTTGATGTTCACTCAGGACTTGAATCCAGTACCGTTCGCTTCAAACGCCATGATGTTATACACTTAGCTACAGGATCCAGATTGTGCAATAGGTTGAAGTTTAAATTCACTTGGTACTGTTTGTTTGAATCTTCCGATTGATGTTTAGGACTGCAATTGATCAGTCTCTTATTGGTATATGTGTATCTTATGAGGATTTCCTCAATATTGCCTTCAGTCAAACGCATTATAATCTGGGATGATCGTGACTAATAGTTGAACCCGGAATGAAAAACTTTAGGATACAGGTACATCCAACTGACGAGTCCCGAATAGAACGTAACGTGCATTCTGAGTGTCACTGCTAGCCACCATCATCTCAGCTTATAATGCTTGTGAATGAAAGAAATATCGAGACGATCCTTACAGAATGCACACATACTAATAAGAAACTGATCAATTGAAGTCCTAAACATCAACCGGTAGATTTAAGTAACCAATACAAAAATAAATTAAAATAGACTAAACTTATTTTGAACAGTTAATATTGTTATTTATAAACTCATCAATTAAGTAGTTATAGTATAAATGTACTTTTCATTGATTGTAAATTCCTTAATATTTAACTATCATATTTCATTATATCACCAATAAAAACATGAAACATTCTTGTCCAATAGTCCAATTTGTTGTCATATTGTAGTGAACGGAACACCAGTGGAGACAACAGAATGCATTTGACACGAAATTACAAAGCATCTCAATGAAATCTGAGAACCATATAGTAAATAGTTAATTTACAAAACATCAATCCATTGTCTCAAACTTCACTGTTTTTTTTGCAAATATCAGTCCATTGTCTTAGATTTCATTGTTCATGCATTTTCATACCAATCGCTCTTCGTTCCTGTTCTTACCTTTTCGATCTTCTACTGAAATACACTTATATACCTGTCCACCGTTACATACTACTTCTGTGGATATAAGTAACCCACATCACAATATTATCAAGTATAAAACTTGATTAATTGAAAATATATATGATGTTTATTATATTCAAAGTATTTTTGATCTGTTTGAACAATTTAATTCACTTAAAGAATAAAAAAATTTCATTGAAATTCAAAGAATCTTTAAGGTTTTGTTTAAATTCTACTCTAACTATTTAGTAAATATTTAAAATTAAAGGGAATGTAAGTTAGTTTTGAAATTTGTATATTTTTGTTATGACTTTAGGTTGCGACCAATTTTTACCCTGTGCTAATTGTTGTGTCCTTGACTGGAAAATTAGAGAGCAGCGTACTTATCGATCGATTCAATAACACATAAACACATACGGACGGCCTAGAGTCTCGATCGGTCTCACTTCCCTGTCTAGCCCAGTCAGTTGAGTCCAGAACACAAGTCACAGCCTCGGAGATGAATCATTGTATTTCAGACATGCTCTATTTATATACCAAACAAGCAAACCACATCGTACCATAAAAATAGTAAACAACATTTACACAATATGTAACGAATGAATTAAATAATAGCCAATAGGGAATGTACATTTAAAGTCCAAGGCCACCATAGACTTAACATGACAATGATTGGCATATTATTCTGTATCCACAACAATTTTCTTGGACAATTCCATTCAAACAAATAGTTTTGCAAAATACAATGATTTTCTTAAATCATTTAAATTAAATATTACATTGTTTTAAATGAAAATTGAATGTTAATATATAAATAATTAGTCTGTCATTTGTTCAGTTTTATTATTATTCGCTATATTCAATATTATATTTTTGGTACAATATCGATATCTTAACATAATGTATTTCAACAAGTTTCCATTTCTTATTTCTTGATCGATCCTGACGATAAATATTGAATGATTGCCAATTAGATGTTACCAGTTCAGGAATTGACATTTGAATAATGTACATTCTTTTCAATGTATGTTGCCAGTAACCACAATGTCTCTGACTATGCTCTTTCCTAACTTGTACAGAGAAAAGTTGTGAACTTTTCTCAAACACACCTGAACAGGTTATGTAATTAATTGACATAATGATTTGTTGAAATAAACAAAAGAAAGATAACTTGTTGAAATATATAAATGGCAAGAACAGGTAGCCCAGATATTCAAGCAGGCCACCTAGTTACTTAGCTACGATGTCAATGATCATAAATACCTTACAATAAACAGCTTAGAAGTTGTACAATTTGTCTTAAACAAAATGTTGTTAACAAATGTAATATTTTCATGTTCTTTTGTTCTGGTAAAAGTCTATGTATGCAACCATCTTTTGAAAAAAATTGTTCTCACTTTTCTTCGAATTCGTTAATAACTCAGGATTCCATGGATTTTCAAGTCAACAAGCTGTGTATAAAAAAAATTATGTTTCGTTTAGTTACGACTCCAAACTGTAATTTATACAAATAATCACTTTATGAAACATTCTATACATAGTTTTCTGCTTTATGTACTGTTATTTTCATCCGATACTAGATTGTCTGGGGTCACATTGTAATGATCCGAGGTCGTTTAATTCTTATACTGATATATACGCTTATTATAAGTGTCTACATATCAACTAATTAAAATAGAAAACCAAGAGAGATTTGGAAGCTTTTATTGACTAAGCAAATCAAAAATATATGTACTACTTATTTACCAATATTAATAGACGTCTTTCTGAAAATCAAGCCACATTTTCAACATATAGCTTATTCTTATTTCTCGAGAAATCTCGGCCTATGCATTGTTCCTGTCAGCATCTCTTATTTATTATTTGGCCTATGTCTGATTCATCCAGAGGACCATATATTCCATAGTTCTGTTTCCAACTAAACAATAAAATTAGCAATTTACTGCAAAAGAAGTTTCTAGAAAGGTGATGGAGAACGGGGTTCTACCAACTTCAGGGTATTAATTTACGCTAGTGGTTGGTCAGGTTTCGACAACTTTATTACTTTTTTTTCTTTTCAAATAGAATATTAGAAACAGAACGTTTTGAGGTCAATGACTCTTTTAGTAATGGCTCAAGGACTGATATTGCTTTGAAACTTCTAACACAACATTAACAATTTCGTAAATGACAATAAATTTAAGCAATAAAACATCAAGTAAATTTAGTTCGCTTATCAATCACACTTTGATAAAAAAAACCCAGTTTTTACTAAGATAACTTCTAAATTTCTATCCCTTTCACAATACATAAAATTTCAAGTATTATCCATTAAGTGTGGATCATATTTCTCAAGCTACCTGATTTATTGAAAGTAAGAATCTATTTCACTCTTTTGTTTCTTAACATACTAATACATTTAGTAACAAACAATTCACCGAAGACGAGTGAGTTTACTCAGATAACTATTCAAATTAAAAGATAAGTAAGTACTGGAATTTCTGGGGATTAATTCAGTAGTGTTTCCATTTGTCAATACCGTAAATACACTGTCCAAAACTGGTGACATTGAAAATGCTCCGAGTGAGATCATTCAATTAGTATTACCAATAACATTGACCTTAATATTATTAACTGTCCATAAATTTAATCAATGGAGATAACCATATGTGAAATAGTAACTGAAATATTAACATACTATTTCAGTAATAGTAGTGAATATCAGTTAGTCTAGGAATCACGAATCGTCAGGTATTCTGGTGTTTACTACGATCTCAGTAGAACAATCACATAGAAATTGGATCCAGTCTACAAATGATGCTGAAGTAATTTAAGCAGACTGACGATTTATATCTGATGCAGTTGTTTGTTTTGGTTACTAACGAAATTAAACTTTGTGATATTTTCAATAAAGATGAACAACAATCTAATAAATAGTGACCAAATTATAAATTCATGAAGAGAAGATAGAACGACAAGTAGTATCGAAGCAGAAAATGAAATGGAATAGAATAGTAAATTTCAAAAAAGATACTAGAATGACAGTAGTAGTCGTATCGATAATGTTCTCATGGAATTGATAATACAATCCCAACAAAATATATTGCAACACTAGAATCACTAATCAAACGATTTGATGCATTTCTTTAGTGATTAAAACCTTTAGTCATCGATTTTATTAGAAGGATAGTGTAACTATAAACAGTTTGTCTAGGATGAAAACGTCTAGTTCACAAAATGACTAGTAAAACGACACTTTCATCCGTCGATTTAGTTTGAATGTTAGTCATAATAACTTAATAGTATTCATTGCAATTTACATAACAGAATAATCACCATATAAATCATACGAAGATATGAACACAGATTATGCAACAAGGGATGCAACGCATAGAAGCTACTTGTGTCACTCGGGGTATTTCTGAGCAAATGAACAATGAAATATATGAAAATACGTAACAGTATCTTGTAATAAAAGTGACCCATATTTTTTAAAATCTCAGTGGTTAAAATCAAAAATAACTTAGATGTTTCCCTTGGCAGTCTAGTCCGAGATTCTTCAGGAAAATAATCAAAATTGAGATTCATCGAATATAAATAGGGTTCAGAAAACAACTGTGCACTAGACAGCTGTCTAATCATGCCAAAATGTTAAATTCGAAATCTCTTATAATGTAGATATGAATATGGGTCATTATTATAAAATGTCGTGAAAATATTAGAAGAATAAGTTTGTTTATGTATATGGAAATCAGATGTGAAAAGACCCACTGACTATATATTTAACCGTAGGATATAGTCATAAATGAAATTAGTCAATCTGATAGATAATCACAAAGTAACTTTATCATAGAAAGCCGAAAATTAGAAGAAATAGACTAATACATAGTTGTACTGATTATTTAAAACAGTCTAGTTGTTTGTGGCACATCCAGATACAATAACTAATTAGAAAAATAAAACTAACTATACTTTATCTCGTTTAGTTAATTGTTTACATTTGCTTATATGTGTAAAGTTTTAAGTGTCAATTTTTATTTGTAAGAACCAAAGTATTTGGAAGGATTTTTAATCGATTGAAAACAACCATGTCAATATTCTACTGAAAATAGTACTGTCATCAATTTGAATTCAAGTTTTTCTCAACGCCTAAGGATAAAAGCATTATAACAAATTCATAATTCAATATTTCATAATGAATAGACAATCATTTAGTATACCATGTTCTTTGAACCCTAATAATAATCGATAAATTGTAACTTTATTCATTTTCTTGAATAAGCTCGAAATAAAATACTAAGTGATGAAACATCCAAGTTATTTTTCATTTTATCCATTAATTGTTCAACAAATATAGTTTCAATAGTTGAGATCATGAGCCACCATGGGAAACCTAGAAGCACTGGACGGCCGTTTTGTCCTACTGTTGGACTCCTCAACAGTGCGCACCCACGACCCCGCCTCGCAGACCTCGAACCTGGGACCTACTGATCTCGCACGCGAGCACTTAACCACTAGACCACTGAGCCGGCTTATATTTGAGTGTCAGTAATAAACTCGAAAGTGCAGTAATAATGTAACCGTTCTTTTAAATTTAAATCAAGAAACTTTTTATACAATATGCTGTACTATTTAATTTATTTTATTTCCCTAATTTAAACAGTCTCCAGAACTTGCTGAATAACAAGTGAGAAATCAACATATCAATGTTCCGTCCTACATTATGGTAGTGAAACATGGCCGGTAAGAGTAGAGGATATTCATAAGTTACTAGTATTCGATCATAGGTATCTTCGAAGCATTACTCATATACCCTGGGGCCACCGAGTAAGTAATGTAGTTGTTAGGAAACGGGTACTAGGAAGGCATGGCAAATCAATTGATGAAGTAGTGAAACTTGATTAGTTGAGATGGCTGAGACACGTGTTACGTATGCCCAACCATCGAATGCCCCAACGTGCGGTGTTTTATGGTGTAAGAGTAAGTTGGAGGAAAGGTATGGGCGACCAGACCAAAACATGGCGCAAATCCATGAAGTCACTGACAAGTGGACTGGTTGGGATCCGAGAGATAATAACAACCGATGGTTAGAGACCATAAATGACATGGCTCAAAATCGTTTGCATTAGCGCAAGTGCATCCATTCTTTGTGTTCTTCCAAATTCCAATTTTCAGAATTCTTCGTCTCACTTTTTTCTCTTTCCAAATTTATTTCAGTGGATTACGCTCCTTGAATAGCATCTTCAAACCCTAACCTTTCTGATTACTGCTTATACTTTTACTACCTCTACCACTATGTGATTTGAATCGAAAATTGCATTTCTGAGATAATATGGTGTGGCAACTCGAACTGATGTACGTACTCAATAAATACAATGAATTGATGGTGGTATATAGGTGTCAAGAAGGCTCATGAACTCTATTTATTTATCTTGTCGTAGAGATATATAGTAATAGTTGATAAAACCATAAAAAGAAATTTGCTGCATAATAGCGGAAATCATAAAACGTGATTAAAAGAGATAGCAACGTTTAAAAAAAACATTAGAATTGAGGCAAACATAGATGGTGCCTATTAGTAGTATACACGACGGGCGTCTCATACTATTTGGGAATCGTCAACTGGATGTATCTGCATTCCAGAGTTGACGTTCACTCAGGGACTCGAATCCAGTACCGTTCGCTTCAAACACCATCACATTACACATTTAGCTACTCAGTCCTGATAGCCACTAGCTTGTGCGATGGGGTGAAGTTTTAATTCATTTATGCACTTGTTGCTGATTAATTGATCGGTCTTAAACATTAACGGGAAGATTCAAACAAACAACACCAAATAAATTCGAAAGGAAACTATATTTTATACCTAGAGTTCAAAGGTATATATAGGCAGTAAAGCTTCCCCCCCCAAAAAAAAATTAAAAAAAACTATCTTCGACAGAAAGTGGCACAAACAATTCGTGAGGTTTGCTTGTCTACAATGACTTAATCTAATTATTTCAAAGTAATCTATCTTGTTTTTCCTTATACAGCGAGATTGATAAGCACCTTGTGAAGAAGTGAGTGAATCATTTATTGTCTGTTCTTAAACTGTTGTAAATATTACTAAATCTATGTCATATGTATATTCAGAGCTAATAAATGAGTTTCGTAGAAAGAGAGCGACCCTTGAATGCTGAGACCAAGACAGTGTTGTCTTTGAATGATGTCCATGACAAATTCGAATAGGATTGGGGAAAGCGGAGAGCCTTGACGAACACTGTTCGATTTTATCAGTTCGGACTACAGTTTACTATGTGCTTTCATTCAACTAATAATGTTCCTGTAAAGATCCTTCAGATGGTTTAAATAAATTTCTTCATATTATTTATACAGAATAAACAATACACATCCTATTGAAACGTGAGTGGCTCGTCTACTGTGTATAATTTGTGGCAAGCCCATTTGACCACTGTAACATTTGTCTACTCATTGTAACTCAGACACTTAATTCATGTTAATTTTTGTGTGCATTTCAGACTCTTAATTCACTATGTTAATTTCGGTGTGTATGATCGAATGCATGTCTGTACATTAACCCCTTAAGCTATCCTCCTATTGGTTGCAATGTACTGATAATCGATAATTTATCCACACCCGATGAACTCTCAAAAATATATATGGATTTTTATTACACAGACACACACACACACACTCACTCACTTTGGTTCATCGTGTGATTGCTCGCTGTACGCTTGCGAATTTTTATTAATCATTAACAATAAATTATCTCTACAACTGGTGTTCAGGCTTTTGAATAATCTCGCGTAAAATCCATAGTTCTACCAGGAGATTTGGCCTACATTAAATACTCAGTTGACGGGATATTATTTATTGGAGTCAGATATAGAGGACATTAGCCTCAACAAATTACGTAGTTCCAGGGATTATAGAATCATTTAATTTATGCGTCATGTATTCGTGTGTACCTTTCTTTCATTTTTATGTTGTCCTCTCTTATTTATTAACTTTCTTGCTGACCTTATCTAGTTATACTCATAAACATGATGAACCCATGTGAGTAAATCGTCTATTGTTTATTCTTGATTTGATCTTATTTGTTACTAAAAACTTTTTAATTAAATAGGTCAACATTTTTCATATTACAAACAACTGTTTTAGTTTAAATGTTCTATGTTCCGAACTATCTTTAGAGACTCATGTTACACAGCAGAATTTCGATACTTTTGACCTTGTATAAACTTCAATATTTACAAATATCATTACCAAGGTTTGATTTCATAATTTCGATAAATTGAGTATTGGGTAGATTGTTATAAATAAACTAATCTATCTGTAATATCCCAATGAGTAGAAATATTAAATTTTCTGACGTTTTGTGATTCAGTGTAAGCCAGTTCTTCAGACAATAAATAACCGAATTAAAATTAATCCAAGTTTAAATAATACAACAGAACAACAAGAATATTATGTGATCAATCAAAAAGCAGGTACTACATAAACTTGGATTAATTTTAATTCGGTTATTTATTCTCTGAAGAAGTGGCTTACACTAAGTCACAAAACGCCAGTTTGTCGATACTTGTTCTTCATCCCAATTCTTCGTGAAGACAACGTGGAGCATATCCGCAGTTACTTCTATGCCTCGCATCAGTGTTTCGGCTGGTATAATGTCAGATGTTGCTGCTTTCCCACTCTTCACTCGTCTGATCACCATCCTGATGTCTTCAATTGTTGGTTGGGTGACATCTATAGGAAGGTCTGTGTGTGCTGCTTCGATATCCAGTGGATACAATGGAGCTAGTCTATTCAACAGTTGCTTGAAGTACTCTACCCACCTGTTCCGCTGTCTTGAGTCGCAGTGATTGACTTGCCTTCTTGTCCTTGATCGGTCTCTCTCACTTACTATATCTCCCTGCTAGTTTCTTAGTTGAATCATAAAGTTGTTTCATATTTCCTTCTCTTGCAGCTCTTCCTCCTGTAATTGTCACATCTCTTACGTGTTGCTTCTTGTCATCTCCAATGCTTTTCTTCACTTGCCTGTTTGCTTTAGTGTATTCATCTTGTGTATTCACTTTATCCGTTCTCTTCTGTTCTTCCTTTCTTGAATCTTGTTCACGCTTTCCATAGAGATCCATCCCTTATGATCATGCTTGTTGAGATTCAGGACCTCCTGACACGTTGAGGTTTGTGCTTCTTTCATCCCTTTCCAATTGTCCTCCATATCAGTTTCTTCTTCTTTCAGTAGATCTTGTAAGGCTTGGAACCTCTTGTTGTGAGTTATCTTGAATTGGGTGGGTTTGTTAGTATCTCGAAATAAAGTTGTATTGAACCTTTGTAATGCTGTTTCTTCAGTTGTTCATTGCTTCTCTATCTTTAGTTTCATCTTGGCAACCACCAGCTAGTGTTGATTCGAGGCTATGCCAACTCTTCTACTGGTTCTCACGTCTTCCGTTGACTTTGCGAATTTTTTATTGATGCCAATATGATGGACCTGGTTCTGTGTAGTGTTGTCCGGTGAGACCCATGTAGCTTTGTATATGCGTTTTTGTGCACTTAGATGCATTTAGATTTTCAAATCTCTCGCCATTCTCATTCTCTTCTCCGGGTTATTCCATGTTTTCTCATGATATCTTCATATCCGTTGTTGTCCCTCCCGACTTTGTAGTCTATATCTCCCATCAGGATAGTCAGGTCGTTTCTAAGCACTTCGCTATGATTGATTTCAGACTCTCATAGAACTGGTTTTTATCGTCGTCATTGCTTAACATCCAGACAACTGCCTTGGCATTTAACGTTATTAATGTCTAACTTCAGTTTATCCATGATCTTGTGCAACTGTTCATCCATTGTCTGAAATGCATAACTGTCTCCGTTCGACACGAATCGGATTGCAGTTTCACGGTTTTTCGTGGATGTGCACTACTGAATAGTCCCATACTAGGACGAGACGAACATCCAGCGCTTCCAGATTTTTAATGGTTGTCTAGCTTAGATCGACCCATGAATTCAACTACTGAAAATATTACAACTTCCACAAATTCCTATTCTGGTACATAAATACTCATTTCTGTACTTCAGAATTAGATAAATAATATGCTTTATATTTACATATAATTTAGAATCCCTTTGTGGATTATAAAGTAAGTGAATTAAAATTTTCTCATAAACGTTTTATAGTTTGATTCCTTTTAAATGATTAATTTATAATATTTGTAAATGAAACAGATCATTTGACACTTCAGATGTTCCATTTATAAGTTATACACTATTACGTACCATACGATTAGGGGGAAACGAAATAATTACGATATGTTACTTAGAAATCTTTTAGATGCTGGATCATTCAGGTTAGCTTCATACATATGTTACAAAGAAATTGAAATTTATTTGGTGGTAAAATATATTGCCACAAGAAGTGGCTTATACTGAGTCACGACACGTCGGGAAATCTAATTTTTCTATTCATTGGGATATTACAAATATATTATTTTTATTTATATTACCAAGATTGTTTGGCCTATTCACTCACAACAATGGCTTCAATGTTTCAGATATGTCACAATTCGATTTCTCTTCTCATTATATATGGTTTAATGTTGACAATTGAATGTATATTGGTTGAGTAGTGTAGCAACAATATGTTTCTTCAAATAATCGTCATTGTGAAGCTTTGATATTTTTGGATGTAAATGTAGCACTCTGTAACCCACCATAGCGAAGCAGTGTCATACATCTTTGTTTATACCACTCACCCAAAGATGTTTGCATGGTCTATTAATTTGTTAAGATTTGAGTCTGGTGTCTTAACCAAGTTGGTGTGAATCAAATCCCTATCTTGTCTTTCTATAATGCTTTCATCAAATTTTATCTTGTGGTCACAGCACCAATCTGTGAAATTTTTCTGTTTTGTCTTTTTTCTTCTGCTATCATAAGAAGAGATGTGCAGTGCATAATAATTTTATTTTAAAGTATGAAACTGTTTGATTCTTACCTCACTTCCTTAAATTCCGCCTATTCCTCTCCGACTAATCGAAAGCATAGATCTAAACGTTCAGTAGAAAATCTTCTTTCAGGTTAATAAAGATGGTGATTTTTCGACTTTAGTATCAATCTGTAATTCTTCTGACCCCATTCATTAAATCTATTTCCGTTAGCAAGGCTAAGAATCTGTGGTGTTTGTAGGTGATGAATTTTTAACAGAAGAGTTTGTTGGACGGTTAATCGTTTATGGAAATGATACATTGCCCCCTAGAAATCTGATTATCTAATTGGCTAGGCGCTTACTTCAACTGCAATGGTAATTGAACCAATAAGATAGGCATTTTCCTTGCGAATGAAATTTTAAAAGTTTAGTATGCACATAGGTAATACGGGTTGACAAGTTTCGTACGGGACGGGATGGTAGGGAATAAAATTCATAAATTTCAACCCTTTTTATTTTTCAATAGTTGAAATCATCAGTCAATTGAAGCTAGACTACCATGGAAAACCTGCAAGCACTGGACCGCCGTTTCATCCTATTATTGGAACTCCTCAGCAGTGTGCATCCACGATCCCACCCCGCGAGGTTCAAACCCAGGACCTATCAGTCTCGCGCGCGAACGCCTAACCATTAGACCACTGGACCGGCATCCAACGGTGTTAATATCTAACTTCAACCAATCCACGACGTCTAGCTTCAAATGATTCATGATTTCAATTATTAAAATTTCTAAAAAATCTCCACAATACCCCTTTTTATTTTTTTTCAAAAACTACTCATATGATTGATTCGATTAGCTTTTTTAGTATGTGACCCAGACCAAGTATGTAGTCACTTTCACTAATACCTACCGTTTTTTGCTGCAATTTGATTGGTTAAGTTCTGTGGATAATGCCTCATTTTCATTGGATGGTTCTAATCGTAGGTTTATAAAGTTGTTTCAGTCGGCTCATCTGTTTGGAAAAATCAATTCCCGAAGTAACAGACTTTAATTAGTAATAAATTAAGATAATTAATGGTACTTAGCTTCTATATTAGTGAGTTAACTGTTCAATAACAAAAATGTTAACTAACAACGATGCATCAGGCTTAAAACAATTAATGCCGAATGCATGTCCAAACATGTTCAACAGTTAATTCTGTGGACAGAGAGAATTAAATTCATTTGATGTAGAATGCCAACAAAATCCGGAATATAAAACATATATACCAGCATATTACTATGATTAAGAATTTAGAGAACCAATTGGATATCGACATAATTTTTTCTTGTTTATTATCAAAGTAACAGTATGTTTTTTTTATTGAGATCATGAACCGATTGGTGTTAGACCACCATTTAAAATCTAGAAGCACTTCATATTGTGGGACTCCTCAGCAGTGCGCATTCACGATCCTGCTCGCGGGATCCGAACCCAGGGCCTTCAGTCTCGAGCATGAACGCTTAACCTACTGGATCACTGAGCCGGCATCCAATGGTGTAAATGTCTAACCTCAACCAATCCACGAAGTTGCGAGACCATCTTCGAATCCCGCGGGTGGGATCGTGGATGCGCACTGCTGAGGAGTTCCACGATAGGAAGAAACGGCCGTCCAGTGCTCTCAGGTTTTCAATAGTGGTCTAACACCAATCGGTTCATGATCTCAATCCAAAAAAAACTTAACAATCTCCACAACCTCTAAACTGACAACAGTATATTTGACGAAATTATTCGTATAGACACACGTAGTCATAGTGAATTGCATGAAAGTGCACTGTTATGTCTCTTAAAATGAACTGGATATATAAACATTGTTCAAAGAGTTCATTTGGTCCGTCACATTTCACAGTTTTACTCGATTCAAAAGCAACATTTGAATGTATTTAGACAAGCGATTATCTCAAATACAATTTTTATAATCATTATCACCTAATCTCGAAGGTTATATTGTTATATGATTAAAATATTTGAATCTTGGAAACTGTAACTTGGTGTAATTTTACAAATTAATGACAAAAAGGTTTTAGGGATTCATAGACTTATTCATGAGTAGTATTATACAGTCAATGAAATGCTTATAACAATCACTATATTTAAATTAAGATTGCAAAAAATGATATTGTGAAATAAATACTTAAATTGGAAAACATAATGATTTTTATTATCGTCAATCATCAATACATCAGACTAACTTTTTCCAATTAGGTGTAGTTATTTTCAAATTGTCCCACTAAGAATAAATTCGAATATGACTTAAATGTCAACTGAGTCCTCAGACGTATAAATGAGATAAAAATAGAAAACATTTAAAACAGCTCATTCGTCAACTGTTGCACATAAGAAATATGAATAATGCCAAGATTATGTAGTATAAGATTGCAATGGTGAATAGCCTCTATACGGAATTGGGAAGTTCATTTTTAATAAACCCAAGTTTATCGTAATCATAGTTATCAGTTTGCCTCAAAACAAATCAAGCCAATCAACAACAAGTGAAAAGTACTACTTTTTAAAAAGTATATTCTTTACCCACAGTATTCAAGCCTTGTACCTTCTAGTCAGAAACTTACGACCGTCTAGCACAAATAATGTATATCATTACCTCAATATAAATGGAGGTACTAGTACGTAGTATTAGAGGGCCTATATGTTATTTTCCTCGCTCCATTTAGCACTGAACGTCATTCCTAACTTTGTGAATGTTATACATTCCACACATTAAACCCCACTATTTAAAAAAATATAGCAAATCTTCTAAAAGAAATATTAACAGTATGTTTTCAATAACCGATTACATAATCTGATTTTATTAAGATCTGTAAATATTTTAGCTTAGATATGAATTAATAGCCATGATCAGGAATTATTTTTTACTTAAGATAGTTGATGTATCACTAGTGAACTTGAAAAAGAAAACACTTACAAAACTTGACATGTATTACTTACAATTAATTCTCAGTATCTGGTAAACTGAACAGAATTTCAATTTCAAATTACATTTTGTAATTACTTTTACCAGTCCGCCATACTACTTGGCTGAGTAAGTTATTTGTTTCATTTTCTAGATTCATAGTTATAGATGAGTTATCTAGGATGTGATTTTTTTCGTGGAGTCTCACTAAATTACTAAGCTAGTGAATAAAAGTTGGGATCTATAGAAACGTTATCTTTGTGTTTTAAAGAAAGGAACTGTCTAAAGCAAATCGTAAATGAGATCATTTTTGTTGCTTGGTAAAGATTAATAACAACACGGATCCTAGACTACTAAAGAATTCAGTTATAAATGTGGTATGGTTATTTATGTGTACCGTTCATTTGATGTATTCACGTGCCCCCAAATGCCCTGGTGCGGCCGAAAGTGGGAAGAGTCCGCTCACCCTCTCGGAATGCTCTCACATGGCCACGTGCATACAACCATTGCCAGAGAAGTCATACTCACTGCCTTCTCGAGGCATTACTGGTGATTACGAAATTGATAACACGAAAAGCGAATGTCCGGCGCTTTAACCGGTTTGGTGGACATGGAGAGTCCATCATGGGGAGTTGGAAAACCTTGATTCTAAACCAATGGTGCACATGGACTCTAGTATTCTGAAGGAACAAATGGTGTATGAACCAATCGTTGGTCATCGTCTACCATGGGGCTGCATCTCCTTACGATGTTCCACTGCCTTGTGGATTAGACCTTCAGGTCGAAGGCTCCGGGTGTGGCAACCTAAGAAAACCACCTGATTCGGTTTGGGCACCCGGGCAGTATCACAGCCCTTACACATATCAAATGAGATTTGTGTGGCTCATATGTATTTGGTGCCTCTTTGTACCAATATCTATGTGTTAAAATAAATAAATCAATAATGTATCCACGTAAAAAACAACCAACAATGCAAGTAAGCATCTGCCCTCATCCCCGACTTCACTAATAATTTTCTATTAGTACTTATTAATTGTATTATAGTAAATCTTATTACAAATGATCAATATCAGTGGCTTATTCAGAATGATTAAAAGTATTTATCAACACCAAAACAAAAATAATTTTTACCTATTTGAAAACGTTACTTATATGTATGTAGTGAATTTTTTAACTAACAAACATTTTTTTCATTTGACAATAGGAAGCTATTTCAACTATTGGGATGTAAGTTTCAACTAGATTGTGTTTTCCTGTTCCTTGAAAATAAAGATATTCAGCATCATAGTCTTCAAAGTCAATAATAAGTAGAACTGTAAAGGTAAATATTAGTTTCTGCTAGAAAATATGAGTTTTTAATTCTCTAAAAATTAGAAGAGCAAACAAAATTATTACATCTGAAGAGGACAAACAAAAAGAACGAAAGTATACAATTAACATCTTACAACTTAATAATTTTCCTATGAAGATTACTAAAAGCGCAATAAAACGAGAAGTGTTACTGCTAAATAATAAACCGAATGAAACGTCATGGATTAGTACTGTAGTTTTATCATACCGCCATGACACAACAGAAGAACTCCAGAGTCTTAAAACAACACAGAACTAAAGAATATCACAAAACAACAAACACCCTTCAAAATACTTTAGTTCGCGTAAATGAAAATGTCCCCTTTGTGTCACTCAGAATTGAGTCTACAAATTAAGATGTGTTGACTGTGATGCCTTTTGTATTGGAGAGTCATATCGTGAAATCTTGACTCGAGCCAAAGAACACCTTAGGTATATCTAATAACCTTGTAGAACTGGAAAGACTGCAAATTAAATCGGCAATAGCAGTTCATGCCATTTTCAACAACCATCATATCGATTTCAAAAACATCAAAATAATACAAAAAGGCTTTTTCAACCACAACTAATTCCACTACCCTCAATAGAAAAGGAGGCTTCATCATTCATCCGACTTGGACCATCTATCTAAGTTACAATGTCTGATTCCATTCACATTTCATACTATTACCGTAAGTACAAATTAAACTCTATCCTTTCCAAAAAATGTCACATTTTTTCATCCCATACACACACACAATGTACGAACATGCCTCATATAAATCACGTTGACCGGAATGACGTGACATTGACTTAGTTAGACCTGCTTTTGGTTGATCGCACCCGGTATTCTTGCTTTCTTCTATTTAAACTTGGGTTAATTTAATTTGGTTATTTATTCCCTAAAAAAGTGGCTTACACTGAGTCACGAAACGTCAGAAAACTATATTTTTTACTTATTTGGATACTACAAATATATCATTTTTACTTATCTAGATTCCTCAAGCAGAAAAAACAACACATTATATCTACCATTACGATTCGTATCGGGAATAATTTGATTAGACCCCCCTAGTCGAATTACTTAATGTTACTGATTCCGGCCTTGGAAATCCGGTACCATAGTTCACACATAGAATTAAAAATATTGAAATATGCTAATCAAAATTACTGTAGATTGTATTTTCATAATTTAGTGAGTTATTTAATAACCATTATGATCGGAACCTAATTTTCATTGGTACTAAAATTGCTTTATGCTGAGTAAACAACAAACTTAATTAAAATTTTTAACGTATTATCAGATCTCATAAGATACGATGATGGCCTTGAAATATATCGACCATAACGTCAGTATCACAACTACATAGTATGGGAATGAGTTCAACAACTATTCTTAATAACTTTGTTTGATTTTCTTTAAACATTTTGAATGAACTAATAAAGGATGTTGATAATCATTTTAATGATTAAAAATAAATTAGATTTTCAATTTTTGCCTTCTTCTGAGTAATGTAAGTTATTAACCTTAATTAAGAGTACCTAAACGAAGATTTGTCACTAGAAATTACTTATGTTCGTTGTAGTATCACATCTTTAGAATCAATACGCATGAATGTGAACACAGGTTCATTTCAAACATATAAGTCTGAAACTTTAGGTATTGTAATAAAATTATTTTATTGACATTTATTGTCACTTGTTATGCTGATCAAATGGTGTTTTGTAGTAAGTGTTAGGAGATATAAACTGAAGTTTAGTTGGTATGAATGTATATCGTGAAATCTTGACTCGAGCCAAAGAACACCTTAGGTATATCTAATAACCTTGTAGAACTGGAAAGACTGCAAATTAAATCGGCAATAGCAGTTCATGCCATTTTCAACAACCATCATATCGATTTCAAAAACATCAAAATAATACAAAAAGGCTTTTTCAACCACAACTAATTCCACTGCCCTCAATAGAAAAGGAGGCTTCATCATTCATCCGACTTGGACCATCTATCTAAGTTACAATGTCTGATTCCATTCACATTTCATACTATTACCGTAAGTACAAATTAAACTCTATCCTTTCCAAAAAATGTCACATTTTTTCATCCCATACACACACACAATGTACGAACATGCCTCATATAAATCACGTTGACCGGAATGACGTGACATTGACTTAGTTAGACCTGCTTTTGGTTGATCGCACCCGGTATTCTTGCTTTCTTCTATTTAAACTTGGGTTAATTTAATTTGGTTATTTATTCCCTAAAAAAGTGGCTTACACTGAGTCACGAAACGTCAGAAAACTATATTTTTTACTTATTTGGATACTACAAATATATCATTTTTACTTATCTAGATTCCTCAAGCAGAAAAAACAACACATTATATCTACCATTATGATTCGTATCGGGAATAATTTGATTAGACCCCCCTAGTCGAATTACTTAATGTTACTGATTCCGGCCTTGGAAATCCGGTACCATAGTTCACATATAGAATTAAAAATATTGAAATATGCTAATCAAAATTACTGTAGATTGTATTTTCATAATTTAGTGAGTTATTTAATAACCATTATGATCGGAACCTAATTTTCATTGGTACTAAAATTGCTTTATGCTGAGTAAACAACAAACTTAATTAAAATTTTTAACGTATTATCAGATCTCATAAGATACGATGATGGCCTTGAAATATATCGACCATAACGTCAGTATCACAACTACATAGTATGGGAATGAGTTCAACAACTATTCTTAATAACTTTGTTTGATTTTCTTTAAACATTTTGAATGAACTAATAAAGGATGTTGATAATCATTTTAATGATTAAAAATAAATTAGATTTTCAATTTTTGCCTTCTTCTGAGTAATGTAAGTTATTAACCTTAATTAAGAGTTACCTAAACGAAGATTTGTCACTAGAAATTACTTATGTTCGTTGTAGTATCACATCTTTAGAATCAATACGCATGAATGTGAACACAGGTTCATTTCAAACATATAAGTCTGAAACTTTAGGTATTGTAATAAATTATTTTATGACATTTATTGTCACTTGTTATGCTGATCAAATGGTGTTTTGTAGTAAGTGTTAGGAGATATAAACTGAAGTTTAGTTGGTATGAATGTATATCGTGAAATCTTGACTCGAGCCAAAGAACACCTTAGGTATATCTAATAACCTTGTAGAACTGGAAAGACTGCAAATTAAATCGGCAATAGCAGTTCATGCCATTTTCAACAACCATCATATCGATTTCAAAAACATCAAAATAATACAAAAAGGCTTTTTCAACCACAACTAATTCCACTACCCTCAATAGAAAAGGAGGCTTCATCATTCATCCGACTTGGACCATCTATCTAAGTTACAATGTCTGATTCCATTCACATTTCATACTATTACCGTAAGTACAAATTAAACTCTATCCTTTCCAAAAAATGTCACATTTTTCATCCCATACACACACACAATGTACGAACATGCCTCATATAAATCACGTTGACCGGAATGACGTGACATTGACTTAGTTAGACCTGCTTTTGGTTGATCGCACCCGGTATTCTTGCTTTCTTCTATTTAAACTTGGGTTAATTTAATTTGGTTATTTATTCCCTAAAAAAGTGGCTTACACTGAGTCACGAAACGTCAGAAAACTATATTTTTTACTTATTTGGATACTACAAATATATCATTTTTACTTATCTAGATTCCTCAAGCAGAAAAAACAACACATTATATCTACCATTACGATTCGTATCGGGAATAATTTGATTAGACCCCCCTAGTCGAATTACTTAATGTTACTGATTCCGGCCTTGGAAATCCGGTACCATAGTTCACACATAGAATTAAAAATATTGAAATATGCTAATCAAAATTACTGTAGATTGTATTTTCATAATTTAGTGAGTTATTTAATAACCATTATGATCGGAACCTAATTTTCATTGGTACTAAAATTGCTTTATGCTGAGTAAACAACAAACTTAATTAAAATTTTTAACGTATTATCAGATCTCATAAGATACGATGATGGCCTTGAAATAAATCGACCATAACGTCAGTATCACAACTACATAGTATGGGAATGAGTTCAACAACTATTCTTAATAACTTTGTTTGATTTTCTTTAAACATTTTGAATGAACTAATAAAGGATGTTGATAATCATTTTAATGATTAAAAATAAATTAGATTTTCAATTTTTGCCTTCTTCTGAGTAATGTAAGTTATTAACCTTAATTAAGAGTACCTAAACGAAGATTTGTCACTAGAAATTACTTATGTTCGTTGTAGTATCACATCTTTAGAATCAATACGCATGAATGTGAACACAGGTTCATTTCAAACATATAAGTCTGAAACTTTAGGTATTGTAATAAAATTATTTTATTGACATTTATTGTCACTTGTTATGCTGATCAAATGGTGTTTTGTAGTAAGTGTTAGGAGATATAAACTGAAGTTTAGTTGGTATGAATGTATACTACGTAGCAATAGGTAGCGGAACTCCCATCCACACTTCTGTTGTTGATAGTAAGTATTAGTAGAACCCATTATAAATATGGGGGACATTCAAGTTATGGAGGATTTTATTGATAAGATGAACAAATTCTCTACTATCGGAATGAAAGAACATGAAGCCGATTGACAGGTGATATGCAATGCCATGATGTTGAAGAGTGATGGCTGCTCACCAGACTGGGTTATTGACGAAGGGGCTTGAGTGTTTTGAAATAAAAGACAAGACCACTAGCCAAAAGAATATTTTCATGAAATAAAATGATGCGCCTATAAACAAAATGCTGACACAAGGAAATAACGCGATAAGATCCTGTATGTGTGTTTTGGAGAAATAACATACATCAATAGTACGAGATTCTAAGGTTTTAGCCAAGGAGGCCTGCTGGCCTATTTGACATAGGGTGCGTACGTTGAAGGCTCCAATGTGTAGTTTGGAGCGAGGTTTCAGTAGACCTGGTACAGTATTTTGCGCGCTAGAATCGTTGGCTATGGTGACACTTGAGGAGGAAGCCAAAAGAGGCAGTTTAGAGTTGAAAGTCGGTGTAAAAGGAATAATAGTAATTGAAGAAAGAGGTTGATTATGAACACAGTGGTCTTGAGTGCTTGTTATAGGTATGAGGGTGGCTATAACTTCCTATACACCCATACCGTGCAAGGGTTCTACTGGAGGTACCTGAAAATTAAATTGGATTAGAGGTGGCATTAGTGACCTGAGAGCGTGACCTCAGTGCCCAAGGGACAACTGCTTGAGGTCGGTCACACACGACCTTTTTATGAGTAATTTTTGTGTTAGCCCCGTACTTGTCGAGACCTTACCGCCGGAGACGGATATCTGTAGGATAAGGCGAGGTGTGCATTTTTAGGGTTGACCTTTTCTAACCCCACCCTTCCTTATCGGAAGGTAGAATCGCTGTTATGCTGGTTGTCTGAAGGAAACACCTCACTGCCGTTACACCTCTGTACAGTCAGAAGTACGGCTTCGCCTTCGGTTTACTGCTTTTAGTTTCACCGTTCTTCAACCGACCTATCTGCATGGTAGAACCTTGAATAACAATTTTTCCAGCCAGCGTAGCTCGACTGGTTCATCGCGATAGGCAAGCCTGACCACCACGTCAAGGTAGCAACAACAATGGTGTAGATGTATATACTCTCTATTTTCCCTCAAACTATGAGATTAAAATCGATTCACATCTTTCTTTCTACGAACTAATCCTCTCTTCCTGTACTACGTCTCTATATGCAATCTTTTTTTATATATTGCCACCACTAGATTAACTACTTCTATGGATCCAGTGTTCATCTTGCTATGCTAATGAGGTGTGGCAACTTGGACCGATGCATATATGTGCCTGGTCCTACACTGTTGCTGAATGACAGAGATTCTGTAAGTCAATCAGCATATTTAAATTGTGACATGTGCATGTATGAGCGACTTTTATCTTACTTCAATAGTTCAACGAGACCTTAAGTTATAGTAAAGCTTATACTAGTCAAAGTGACTGTAAATGTTCTGGTACAGCCGAGAGTGGGGAGTCAGCTCTCTCTTGAAATGCTCTCAAATGAACATGCGTATAAAGTCACTGCCAGGGAAGTCCTACTCATTGCTTTCTCGCGGCGGGGGTGTTGTTCACGAAATTGAGAGGACGCCCGGCGCTTTAACCGAGATGATGGATATGGAGAATCAACTCACCCAGGAGAATTGGAAAGTCCTGATTTCAAACTAATGGTGTACATGGGCTACAGGAACCTGATAGAACAAATGGCGTACGAACCTATTGTGGCCACCGACTACTATGGGACTGAATATCCTAATGTCGCTCCACTGCGTTGTCGACAAGACCTATAGGTCAAAGGCTCGGAGTGGCCCCCTGCCTCAGTTTGGGCGTACGAGCAGTATCCCAGCCCTCACACGAATGACAAAGTGTGGCGCATATATATTTGGTGACTCCTCGTACCAATGTTTGTTTTAATAAATAAATTTAGAAATGGATATGACTTAATGACAATATTTTTCTTCACGATTAGGCATTAATGACCAGAGCCCATTCTATTCATGTTCTTTGAATCCATTCATATACGTAAGGCTTCAGATGTGATATAGTGGGTTAGGCCAGACACACTTCAAACCACAAGAGTATGCGAGTGACCTTACTTTTTTTAGGACTGAGACATACTATTGATTGAAAAATGTGATTTTACTATGTGCGGGACAAATATACATATATATGAACGAGTGTGTATATATATATATTCCATGACTCGTTTTAACAAACAAAGCTTTCTAGTTTAGTAGCTTAGTTGATTCCGTGTACAGGCAATTTGTGTGTCAGTATCTTAAGCAGACACCACATAAAAATCAACTTTTTTAATCTTCTACTGCATAAAACATTATTTCTGAAGTAGCACTCTACGGAATTTGAAGTTTTATCTGTGATAACAATATTACATGCAGATGAATCTACAATTTCTGTTTAATAGTGAAGTATATCAAATTCTTGTTCATAGGCTATTTAGTAGGACCGCTTCAGTTCAATATGTTAATGGTTAAAAATTAGAAAATGGGTTATCTTATATAAGGGATGAATCAACTATAATTTATCCTAAGTATATAAATGACGAAGCTTGTTACTCCATAAACGCTTAACTAGAAAAAATATTGATGTACTTATGAAGAAATCGCCTTGAAAAAAGGATTGTAGTAAAAAGTTCACAGCCTCCAATAAGTATACCAATTTTTGAATAATTTCAGGAAATCGACACATTCCGAGAGATACTTAGATTATGATTCGGCTCATGTGCAGTGCACGAAAGTTAATGTTGTAAAAAATTTAATGAACAGAAGTACTAAGTTTGTTACAGATAAGGAAGACCAACGAACTGAATCGAATAAAGTATTTTCTACTCTTAGGGATAAAAACTACCCAAGAGTTTTTAAAGAAGATTGTTAAGTGAGAGAAAAATTAAACTAGAATGTATACGAAAAGTTTGGAAGTACACCTTAGTCGTCCCATACCGTAGTGAAACATCGGAAGAAACCAAGCGTATTCTAAACAAACATGATATAAGAGTGTATTTTAAGGCGAGTAACACCTTAAGATCGACATCAGTGAAAGTTAAGGACAGGTTACCAAAGGAAGAACAACAAAATATTGTGTATGAAATCAACTGTCATGATTGTAATGCAGCTTATGTGGGAGAAACATCCAGACAATTTAATGTAAGGTTGAAGGAACACAAACAATGTTTGGAAAATGTTCCCAAATCCTCGATTGCTTTGAAGAAACTTGAGAATAAGTCTGCGATAGAGTTACATGCGTTAGAAACAGGACACAAGATTAATTTTGAAGGGACCAAAATACTTCAGAAAGGTTTTAACAATCATAAAGATCGACAGCGGAAGCGCTGTATATATGGATGAACAAGAACAGCTTGAACCAAAAGGATGGTATTCAACTAGCAACTACCTGGCAAATTTTGGTTGACAAGTAATTTGAACCCTCTCTTTATTCAACTTCTTTATTTCACATGCATCGTTATTTGGACTGAATTCAATGAGTTTTTAGCAATACAATTACGTATTTGTTGATTCCTAAATTTGACAAGCACATAGATGATTCAGAAACCATTTTTCAACCTTGAACATGCACTTTTATTTATTCCTTTATACATAACATATTAACACCAAATATCAATAATTAATCTCAAACACATGCAATTTGTTATTCAGTTAATTATTTCCATTTTGAATTTTCCACATGATTACCATGTAAACTGACTCATGTTATCCTATTTTACAAAAATACGGTTTAACACAGTATAGTTTTGATTGTTAAAAAGCTATATATTTATTTGATTATTCTACCCTGAAGAAGTCCAGACAAGTTAGCTGGACGAAACGTTGGAATTATTTAAATTTCAATCGCTGAGATTATTTCAAATATAATTTCCATATATAATGACTTCTCTATACTGGGCGCCCAATTTTTGCCAAAATATCCGTTCTAATATTGACGAATATTCGTATAAGTTTCCTAAATATGTTGTTTAGCATGAAAATCAGTGATGACAATTAATTTGTTGGAGTTTAACTGTTAAAAAAACTTACCATCAGCTGAAAAACACAATCAAAAAGAACGTGACGTCCTTAGCCTTAAATAAGAAGGTATATTTACATTGTCGGAAAACTTTATACGGATATGATTTGCAGGGAACGTCAAAATATTTACAGCAATCAACACCTAATAATTTACAAAAACAAAATCTTATCCTTTCTGTTTTGTTAACGCTTCATATTATCATGGTCAATAATGCTTGAGATGGTAACTTGATTTGTCTTTAAATACAACTCGCTTGTCACCCAAATATGATCCAAATCATACACAGGGGGGACTATCGATAATGGTCTCAATAATTCCACTGGTTTTGATACGTTTGAATTAGACTGTTGATCTGTGACATAACTATCAGTTGGATTTTGAGCATGCATTGAAAGTGAATCTGAAACAATAACAGGATTGTTAAAATATAATAAATCTTGAGGTAAGGATTTAGAGTTCAAGTGGAAGATTTTTGTAGAGTTCTCTTTGGTCGCAAAGCTTTCTTCGTCCTTCTGGACAACACCATCAACATGAACCTGACTGTGAGCTATCTGATTTTTTTCCTCACATGACTAACACGCTGTTCTGTCGACTTTGATCTTGACTGGTTGTTATTAACCCTCACTCTGTCATCGTTTGCATATTTATTTTGGTTATCATCACCATTTACATAACTTCTGACCCTATTACTAACCATGATTTTTCTCAATGGATGATATATTGTGTTGATTTTACTGTCCCTCTAATCAATCCAGATTATTATTATTATTATTATTATTATTATTATTATTATTATTATTATTATTATTTGAACACATAGATATTCGTGCAAGGAGGCACCAAATACATATGAACCACACAAGTCTCATTTGGATTATGTGAGGGCTGTGATACTGCCCGAGTGCCCAAACCGAATCAGGTGGTTTTCTTAGGTTGCCACACCCGGAGCCTTCGACCTGAAGGTCTAATCCACAAGGCAGTGGAGCAACGTCAGCAGATGCAGCCCCATGGTAGACGATGACCAACGATTGGTTCATACGCCATTTGTTGCTTTAGAATACTGGAGCCCATGCGCACCATTGGTTTGGACTCTCCCCACTCTCGGCCGTACCAGGGCATTTTGGGGCATGAATCAGATGCTGATGATTCCATTCATGTTTCTTTCGTCGATTTTATTATTGAATCGGTAATATATTGTCAAGCATCAGTCTGTGATTTCTTATAAAATTCTATTTCCAACATTTGTCAATCCAAAAACATTGAAATAAAAGTATTATTAGATAGGATATTTGGTTGCAGCGACAAAGGAGTATCACTCGCTTCAATAGAAGACTGTAGAAATGATTGAATATAGCAAACGATGGAGAGCTGAAGTTAAAACATAAATGAATTAAAGAGTTATCATGAAGAAAATGTAATGTAAATTCATTTATCGCTGAGATTTTGAAGTCATACATAAATATAATCCGACGTACTTTTGATAAAGTCCTCCATGTCACATGCAGCAAAACAAGAAATAAGTTTTAATGAGTCACAAATTCAAAACTCTACATTGAATATCATATGTTTATATCAATCGACTGACTAGGGATAAAAATTTAGCACTAGATCATTGTAAGAAAGATCGTTGGCTAAGAGCCTACTTATTTTTATTTCATTATATGTTACATTCTCTTGTCATGGCTTTTGATGCGCATTAGATTATTGATTAAGAAAATGACAACGGATATCGAAATAGCATATCATAATGTCACTGCGTAAACTTTCAAGATACGAGGTGTGGAACAAAATTCCACTTATTAACACCAGCAAATACCTAGGAAGAATTTGGTACACAAGTTGTACATGAATTTATTGATCAATAAAAAATGTTTTGAAAAGCATTTTCATTTCGAAATCTACATACCTCTAATTTGATAAATCGATGTAAGCGGTTGCATGAGTGAACGATTATTCCAAATATAAGCAAAAAGACCAGATATACATATAATCAGTAGTGAGATTGGTGCAGTAACTGACCAGTGTCTAAAATTTTTTAAATACTATATTTCAGCAAAGTTATTTAATAAATTCAGAATGTAATTATATGAATAAAATATTACTAACATAACTGCTTAGGTGAGACTCAATTGATGAGTAAATCTGTTTGCATTAATGTATTCGAACACGGTACAGTACAGTCGAGGTTGACTATGATCACCACTACAAGATGAGCGCGTACCAGAAAATCAAAAGGCGAAAGATTGTAACCAGATTTATTCGTTGGCGATCTCGTGGTATCGAAAGTATATCAAGATCGTGCCGAGGGAAATACCAGTGGAATTAATGGGCGAATGTGCGAGCGTACAAGGTCACAGTCAACGGAAGAATGATGGGGGAGTAATGGATGTCTTTAGTACAGTTAAACAAACAAGCACAGTAAAACAATCACTGGTACAATTAGTTATAATAATAATTGTTTCCAATAAACCAATCGCGTTCTCTTGATAAAAGTAGGTCACTACATGAGCCCCACGTGAGAAGGTCCTTTGTAAGGCTGTTGCACGGGTTCCCGTATCGAATATACTCGTATGAAAACATGTGAACAGGTAGATAACTCTCGAGGGAGAGCGACCTGTCGATGTTGTATACGAGTTGACACCGGAGGCAGTGTTCGCATAAATCCAGACAGTCGATGGACGTAGTCTGATTTACCGAAATCGTTGCTGCCCCGTGGTGTGGAAAATTCCCCAGGCTCTGTCACGTATCCAAGTGAATGCAGTTACTTCACCGGTGCTCGATCTTCCTTCTATGGCTGCCGCTCAAGCAAACGATACTTTTTGTACAGAAGCACCACAATCTACATCCCCTCGGTGCCAGGAAGTATCCCTAGCTACTAGCTCAGGTACTATCCTATGTGATACTTCTACCAGTCTTCCCCGACCCATCGTACCCTCTGCTTACCGTCGTCTCGTCTTCGATGCCCTGCATGGATTGTCTCATCCAGGTATCGCAGCTACATTACGTCTCATCGCTGCACGATACGTCTGGCCGTCCATGAATAAAGATGTCCGTATGTGGACGAAGCAATGCTTACAATGTCAACGATCAAAAGTGCACAGGACGTAGCCGCCCTCCTTGGCACTTTCGCTACGCCTGATGCTCTTTTCGATCACGTTCACATAGACATTATAGGACCACTACCACCATCGCATGGGTATGATCACATACTCACGTGCATCGATCGTTTTACAAGATGGCCCGAAGCCATTCCCATCACGTCTATTACGGCGGAGACAGTTGCTCACCGCTTCGTAGAACGATGGATAGCGCTGTACGGTTGTCCCTCGACTGTCACGACCTACCGAGGAAAACAATTCGAATCCGCATTATTCTCCTCACTGACCAGACTGCTTGGCACGGAACGCAAACGCACTACCACCTACCACCCTGCATCAAATGGTTAGTTGAACGGTCTCATCGCCAACTTAAAAGTGCTCTTCGAGCACACGAAAAAGACAATTGGTACAAAACCTTACCGCTTGTCCTCTTAGGTATCTGAACGAGCTTGAAGGCAGATATCCAATGTTTCGCCGCTGAACTTGTGTACGGCAGGACATTGCGTCTGCCTGGGGAATTTTCCACACCACGGGGCAGCAACGATTTCGGTAAATCAGACTACGTCCATCGACTGTCTGGATTTATGCGAACACTGCCTCCGGTGTCAACTCGTATACAACATCGACAGGTCGCTCTCCCTCGAGAGTTATCTACCTGTTCACATGTTTTCATACGAGTATATTCGATACGGGAACCCGTGCAACAGCCTTACGAAGGATCTTCCCACGTGATTTCTCGTCACGGAAAGACCTTCAAGGTTGATCGACATGGCCGCGTCGAGATCGTCAGCACTGATCGTCCCAAACCAGCACACGTCGATAACAGTGCCCTACTCGATAACTTGAGACCCAATGCTAGACCTATCAAATCTACTAGCGGGATCCTTACATCTACTTCAGATCCCACGCTAGATACATCAGAGACCTATTCTCACGTCTCGGTCAACGGCACGTGTATTCTGCACCATCTACGGACGAGACTTCAGTCTCACGTCCAGATGGCAGACCACGCCGCCCTTGACTTAGGATGAGATTGCAGGCTCACGAAGTACGAACGAGACCACCGTCTCGCGTTCTAGTCGCCGAGTACGCTTTCGCGACTAACCGTGCAATCAACAACGGATACGGTGTCGGACTATTTCTATACTACATGCATGCTACACTTTTTCTCTTTTCTTTTGATTTTTTTTGTATCCTGAGCCCACGCCTCCGACCACCACCCGTTTGGTACCGTCGACTTCAGTCAACCTTGGAGAAAGCTGGTCTGGCCACCCACGCTCTTGTCAACGCACTTAGTCGATGTTCAGGTTTCGAATCTGCCTGGCCTATATTTGGTTCTGCACTTGGTTGTTATGGTCGCTTCTGGTTCCTTGGCTCAACGCGGTTTCGTCCTACGTCTGCAGCGTTTCTGGTCCGAACCCCTACGAACGCAATCTTCAGGCCTTGGATATAAACCACTCTGGTGTGGTATACTAACTCGAGTAACAAATACAGCATGCTTCTCCTGGTACCGTTCTACGTAAAAGACCTTCGTTGGCAACTCGAGGATCAACGATCGCTTCCTGTTTCTCCAATCCTTCCATTCTAACTCTTAAAATCTTTACAAAATATATTAATTAAATATTCAATAAATCTATTTGACAAACTTGATCAACATTAAAGTACATTTGATTTAATTTTAGATACCCGGTGAAAAACTGGCATAAGGATTCTGACACGGGTTTGAATAGTCATTAATAGCCATTAAGTAAGTGAATTGATAATTTTGTACAAACTGATGCACCTACAGGATTTGAATAAAAGTTACCACCTACCAGTACAAAATAAGATAGCATCACTAAGTTGTTAAAATTATATGTTTGGATGGCTATAAAACTAGAATATAGAGATGTATCTCGTTTTGTCTAGCTTAAGGGCCACAAAATATTCTACGATTTATTGCAAATCTATATTAAATGATATTTAGTGTCCGCATTGTATAGATTTTGGCTGAAATTTTGTTTGGTTGGAGTTAAACATTGATCTAATTACTGTGGTAGATGATTTAGCGATTGAATGTCAAACATGTTGAAGGTAATAGGTCTTTATACTAAGACAGAGCATTTCAATTTCAATTAGATGAACAATGTGGGTTATTTAAAATTTGGACAGGCAGCAATCACAGAATCCATCAAAACAAAGATGAGGATGACGATCGTTTCGTTTCACGACCAATTTCCAAAACTTTTCCAAACAATTTAGCCAGTCCGGCATTATCTTTATAAAGAGCCCAGTATTTTTATAGCATCATACAAAGCGACTAGTGCTCGTGCACACCTGCCGGTGAGCTGGTAGTTAGCAGTGAACCTAATTCGGTTCAATTTTTGATTATAGCAAAATCTGCAGGTAAATTGCTTGTTGCAATTCGTTTAGGACAATAAGTGTTGTGAATTTATGTCCGGCCAGTTATCACGTTATTTATCCACCAATCGAAATACGACTTATACAATCTTTACACTGTGCTAAACCAATGACGTTCGACCGGTATGAGTAGCCTTGAGTCCAGAACACCAATACTAGCTTCCACTATGCGAATCGAATAAAATAATTTATTTCAGACATACTGGGTTTATATGTCAAACAAACAGACCGCAACGCACCATAAAATAGGAAATAACATTCATACACAATAAAGCCAAAAACTGGCTATGAACGTGGGATGCAGTAGTCAATAAACTGCGCATAGCTTAAGAACAGTAAATCGTACAATAATAAATTACAGGTCAAAATAAAGCTTATAACAAGGGGAATATAGATATACGTAATCTAGTTACTGAATATTTATACCATGAGAATATATAAATAATATTAGTCCATTAATAGATCTCAGACGTTACTTGTAATGTAATCTTCACTAGGATATAACAATAAGCTTATCAGACACTGAAACTCAATATAAGCTTGATGGAAATCAGATCATAGTCACTGTCAGGATAGGGATCCCAAAGCAAGCACGCCTTGTACACAATCATGTCATTGGTAACTGATCGCAATGTGACCAATTCCAATCCTGGCTTGATTTAAAGAGGAAGGATGTCAGGTAGAACATTAGTGGTGACCTGCGAAAGTTGGTACTGGTTTGAAAAAGGCTATGGTCTACGCAAAGCTGGAAGATGCAGGTATTGTTATTTGACCTACGTCTCCACTGACCACCTAAACGAATTTCCTCTATGCGTAGACACCTGACCTGTATATTCAAAGCTTATTCTAGAACTACAACATGTCGAACTCGCTTATCCGATGTCTTTTAATTGGTGGTAGAATTCATCCATAATTGGATCTAGGCTTGAAACTTGTAGCATACGCGAAGATTAGGAAAAGACAATATTTACAGTCACATTTTTTCGCCTTGGCAGAGCCTTCCAACCTAACAGCAATAAAAAGAATGTTCATGGGGATTCAATTGATTATTGTCCCCTAAGTACTGGCGCTTAGTGTGAAATTCAGTTAACAGATCTAAGAACAATCTTTTTTTAACGCTTACTTGTTGGGTAGGTATGTTATTCCAATTAGATTCAACCATTCATGTGGAATATATGCCCAAATTACATACAATACTGAAATCGTATAAAATAGCACAAAACAAAAATTATGATTTTCTGGGTCATGGATATAAACTAACAATTAACAGAGATTATGACGTCACGTTTAAAAGCAATAACAGGTACTACAATCTAAGCAAAATAAATACATAAGTTACATCATCTGAGACCAAACCTCAGAAACACGAGTTAGTAAACTTATAGCGACTGAGATCAGTATGCTAAGCTACAGAATCAAGCAGTCCAAATGTCAGAATAATAGTACACTGGTTAAATCAACGATAGCTAGCAAAATTATAGAATAGTAGCATAGATGTAAAACTAACGGCAGTATTAAAAAATAAGAAATTAGGAAGAAAAGATAAAGGAATTTTAGGCACAGAATAAAAAGATGGATTATTGGAGTGATATAAAAAAATCTATTTTTATGCCTGAGATCGGCTTAGATACATATCATTCAATATTACCAATCACGTGTACTCAAGTCCGAAAGCCTACTTCTGGGCTAAAAAGCTTAGATTTAAATTCAATAACTCTACAAAGTGATGTCGTGTTTTAACCTGAACAATGATTGGCAGCATCCAAAATACTTGTACTTCAGCGATCACAACAATGAGGTATCTTAATACTCATAACACAAACCGTCGTAGCTGATGGGGATTCATGATCTCATTAGCCAACCTACACAATATACCTGACGTCAACGCACCTTACTATATGATTTGATTATACACAAAAATGAAGAACATAGACCATTTGTTCTACGGAATCAATTGTAAATCATGACCCGTGAAAGTATAATACATCCATAGGTTGTGATAATTTGGTTAGCATAGCTTGTGTATGGTGAAACCATCTAATGAGCAATGCTGATATTAAACATAGGGTTTTAGGTATAAAGAAAAACAAGAAACTAACTGACGTTTTAAAGTTAAGTCAATTTAGGTACATAAAACATATATTAGCATGCAAAACACCTATGCAGACGCTCATCACTCTCCACCATAGGATAAATTTAGGAAAAAGTTAAACTTTGACTTTGTTTCCGGTGTTGAAACGCAGCATAACTACTTGGACAGATATAAATCTAGTCTAGATCTTACGTTATCTAAGACTGACTGACGTACGTTAATTAATACAACTAGGTCTAGATTTTGTTACTTTATTTTATGTAAGGCTGAAGAGGTCATGAATTTGTCACATTCAGTGACTGGTTGCAAACAAAATCTAATTTTATCATAGTCATAGTAGTGAAGCAAACCATTTAGACTAATGAACTGATTATTATTATTATTTGAACACATAGATATTCGTACAAGGAGGCACCAAATACATATGAACCACACAAGTCTCATTTGAATTATGTGAGGGCTGTGACACTGCTCGGGTGCCCAAACCGAAGCAGGTGGTTTTCTTAGGGGGCCATACCTGGAGCCTTCAACACAATGGTCTAATCCACGAGGCAGTGGAGCATCGTAGACGGTGACTAACGATTGGTTCATACGCCATTTGTTCCTTTAGGATACTGGAGCCCATGTGCACCATTGGTTTGGAATCAAGGTTTTCCAACTCCCCGAGATGGACTCTCCATGTCCACCAACCCAGTTGAAGAGCCGGACATTCGCTTTTTGTGTTGTCGATTTCGTAATCACCAGTAATGCAGCGAGAAGGCAGTAAGTAGGACTTCTCTGAAAGTGGTTGTATGCACGTGGTCATGTGAGAGCATTCCGAGAGGGTGAGCGGACTCTTCCCACTCTTCAGGCCGCACCAGGGCATTTGGGGGCAACAAACTGATACCATAATATGAAGAAACTGGTGGTCGAACCTTAAACAATTACTTAGAAAAGTAGATTGACATTTATTTGAATCAAGTTCGTGTACGTTTATAATGGTCAAAACGATGGTGATTGCTATAGTGACACGAAATATCCTTTTAGAATATAAATCTACGCGTATGGTACATAGTAGTACCAAAAAAAGTAGTAACAGGCAATGAAATGCACGGTTCATTTGTTGGAAATTGAAAGCGATGACTCACCAAATGCAGGAAAACATACAAGATATACAATGAAGCCATAAATTGCTCTTTCATCTAAGTGCTCACGATTGGGATGAATATAGGGAATAGCGATTGAAGGTTTCGTTTTTCGGATATGCTTATATGATCCATCGATCGAACACATGTGACAGGCACAATAACTTGAGCAGAAATCTAAAATGACCAGAAATCAGAACAGAAGTCAATCATATATTTGACTATGGGACTAATTAGTCAGTCATAACCACCGTAGACAACGATTCGTTGCATCCAAGTTACTGCGACCAATTTTAAGTCGAACCCATTTCTGACCACTAGTCGAAGTTATCTCATTGTGGTCGAAAACCTACTAGCACGTCCTAGGCCATTATTTTGTAGTTTGAATTATACTTGATAAGGCATCACATCTGTAAAGTTGTAGTGAACCTAGAGTTGATAATGACACATCCTCAGTATTGTGTTTTGGAGGTTGTTGAGTTTTTATTGAGATCATGAGTCCATCGATGTCAGACCATTATTGAAAACCTGGGAGCACTGAACGGCCGTTTCGCCCTAGTGTGACTCCTAAACGGTGAGCACCTATGGTTCCGCACAGAAACGCTTAACCTTTAGACAACTGAGCCGGAATCCAGTCGTGTTAATGTCTCACTTCAACCAATTTACGATATTGCGCGACCATATTCTATTGTCTTCGATGGGTGACTGCCTCACACCTGAACTCTACTGCTCATGGCTTCTCACTAGAACTCCGAGAATTACCTCTCAAAGCTAGTCGATAGTGAGCACATTAAAACTATTAGTATGGGGTTGTGGAGACTTCTAGTTTTTATTGAGATCATTGATCGATTCAAGACCTCAATAAAGAAATTATTTTGCTAATACATGTCATATCTTTGTGTTGTCCACCTAGTCTTAGTGTTAAACTGTGATCAGTATGAAAGCCGTTTTGTAAAACATGTTTAATCCACTGAAACCGGTATTTTGAATAGTAGCCCTTACTGAAGTATAATATCCACCATTTTAAAAAACCATCGGGCTTTTTTATTGTTGAATGTATAAAACCGTTGGAAAAAAGACGACTGAGCAGATTCTCTGACTAACCTCAGCCCAAAGATACCAGACTTTACAATCATATTATAGAATTGTTTGAGCAATAGTTTATGAACATTATATTTTGCTATATTAAGATAGGTACCCTTGTGATGTGTATTACTTGTGGGGAAACTGAACCATTTTGACGTGTATTTAAGCTAAGGTACGATAGTGCATGGTAAACAACCTGATGTAAACTTGTGAGAGAGACTAGTCAGATTGAGGTCATTTAGGGACCAAAATGTTTGGCGTCAATGAAAGGGAAGATCAGAATCTTTGGATCTATATAAGCGATAGCTGATATATTAAATCCAACAAATCCTTCCTTAAAAGAAAAATTCCTCAGCATCTTTTGAAGGGTGGCGAAAATTCGGTGAACCGTCTACTATACGCACACCAAACTTTCTTAGGAAATATCCCAATATTTCGTCAAAGTTCAGTTTCTTTTATTTTTGTTTGCACGCGTTTGCACCGCGGTGCCGGTTTGAGGAATAACAATGAATGATTACTGAGTACCTGTACTCCTGAAAACAAAATAACTGATTAGTTATCAAATCCTTATAATAGCACTTCAAAGTAAACGCTGTTTGATACAGAACAATTAGACTTATTATATTTGTGCGAGACGTACCGCACCTTTTGTGACACTCGCTGGTGTCCAACGGTTCAAGTGTCTCTGGACAAAATGAAAGAGCTTTCGCTTAAAGGGCTTCCATATTTGGTAGAAGTGGACCACCAATGTCCTCAGATAATAACTTAGGTGTATTGCTGATAAAAGAGACGAAAAACTGGCAAATTATAGCGAAATACTGACCTTCGACATTATGATTATGTAAGGTTTTCTCTCAAAAAACTCCTGGTATATCTCTTGGACTAGCTCATTAGGCAGTGGGTCCCGGAATTCAACTACTCTTAAGGAGTAGAATGTGGGCCTACGGTCCATTCGGCCGTGTTGTGTCTGCAGTTTCTGGCCGCTACCCTAGATTTTGTGTTGCGACCAAGCTTAGTTAGGTGTTAAAGGGGATGCCTAAAAGTGTTTAGGATGCTACAGGTCATTAGAAAGGCACTTTAATGGATAACAGTTCCGTGATTGTGGGCGCTCTTCACAAGACTTGAATTTGAGTTTGTGAACTGATTTCGTCTGTCGTCGTTGTACATGTTTTAGAGTATTCTTATCCTTTTGGAGTGAGGAGAAACTATTGTTTCCATGCTCTATACAGGGTCGAATAAGACTTTTGGAGATTAATTGGAAAGTTTTTCCGTCGAAATGGCCGAAGATGTTCGTCAATTTTATAAATGCATGGTTTTCTTGAAAGGATTTTTGTCGCAGTCATCGTAAAACTTCAGATCATAGGATACCAACACTCCCATATCTTCAACTTGGAGTGCCTCTAAAGGTTGTGTTTTTAGTCTGCAAAATGTCTCAGGTGGACTACTTTACACTTTCAGTTGTTAAAGGTAGGTTCATTATCGTCTGCCCAACTTTGAAATCGAGTCAGATTCTCTTGAAGTACCAATATATCATCTTGGTCGCATACTTCACGCCAGTGAAAAGTAAACAAATCTGACGATAATTGCTGCGGAAGATCGTTTTATAAATCAAGAAAAGAAGAGGTTCCAGTAATGAACCCTGGGGAACCCCACTACTACATATCATAACCCGAGAGAAAGTGAAGTTAACTTTAACCTCAAAATGTCGATTATTTAATTATCAAGTGAGCCAATCAATTAAAGGTAATCTGATACCTATTCATTCGAGTTTATTGGTATAATAAGTAAGGCTGACTCTATCAAAGCTTTTGAGGAGTCAACATTTGTGACATCTACCTTCTCCTTGAGATCAAGGATGGCTGTCCATCTGTCCACTGCAGTCAGTAGGTTGATCATACACGAGTGACCTTTTCTAAAACCGTGACGGAGTGAGAAGTTTATAGGTAGTAGATAGTCACATAGACCACTACACATCAAAGACTGCACAACTTTGAGGGTGTAGAGAGATGTTTGCCGCATCGACCTTCTTTGAAAATTGGTATGATATTGTAGTCACTCACTTTTATCACGAGAACACGATTGGTTTATTGAAAACAATTATTATTATAACCATTTGTACCTGTGCTTGTTTAATGTGCTCTTTGTTTAACTGTGCTAATGACAGACATATTATGCTTCCATTATTATTATTACACTTTGATTGTGACCTCGCGCGAATTCAGTTACGCTCTGTAACCAAGCTTGTATCCTGGCACGATCTCGGTATTCCTTCGATACCACGAGATCGCCAGCAAATATATCTCGACTTGGTCCATTAACTGCCTTCTAATATTTCGCTCCCGGGGGATTTTATGGATTTATTTGGCACATGTTTCTCTTTAGCGGTGTTCATAGTCAATTTCGACTCGACGCCACGCTACAATATGAGCCAGCTTCCAATTTTCCAGTAATTTACCTCGGCTTAGCGAATTCGATAATATCACGTTAAGCAGCGTTGCCCAGATTCAAACTGCCTCCCTTAGTATAGTAGAGTGAACCATATCCGGGCTAGGAGAAGTGTCCCTTTATAAGTGCTGCAGTTTCCATCTCACCAAATTAGCGCCCAGATTCACTTTTCGGAGTCCTGTTGAGTGGCAGGTTAATGTCCTAATCAGTATATTTAGTACGGGTCATTTGAAATGTCCGAAAGTGCTGTCTAGCCAGAAGACCGGTGACGTGATCGTCGTTGTTGTTTAATTGTAGAGTCTAGGAAAGTTAGATTTTGGCTCGTCGAAGAGAGGCTGCATGACGGAATAAGCTGTCGAGATTGGAGACAAATTTATCGTTAGGTTTTTATCTGATAATGAAGCCTGTCTCTTATTGCCTTTGTGTATATGTTCCTTATTAATCTGAATTGCCTATATGCGCCGTTTTTACCAGATCGTTTTTATTTCACCTAGCAGTGCCTCTTGCAACTTAGCAAACAAAACGTGAGATTCTTGATGACTGTAGATTGCTCGTAGATTTTGAGGACTGTTAGCTGGACAGACTGCCTTTTAGCATATACAAATGTGTGCAGTAAGAAATCCCAATGAGCATCCACATCAAGTTGAGCGTGAATTTCCCAATCCGCCTACTGTAGATTGTCCTGTAAAGCTGACACATCAAACTTCAAAGAATTTGCTACTCAGCTTTATTAGCCACTTTGTCTTTTATCTCTGCACATGCTCTTAGTAATTTGTATCTATTTTTGAAGAGAGGCAGTGTGCACCCATGAACACACCAGAAAACAAATCCGGAACCTCCGGGTCTGTGGAGAAAATATCCGGACTTCTAGAGAGATATCTAACCTATCTGTGTGCAAACATATCAGGTGAAGCAGTTAACCGCCAGAGATTATAAAAGACGGTTGGTAAATATATCTGACCGATTGAAGTTAAACCTGTTGATCATTGTATGGTGGCTCAATAGCCTAAAGTTTAGGTGACCATTGAGAGGGCTAATAATATTGAATTATACTTGGTTTACTGAATGCTCACCGTTAAAACTTTATATTGCAGAGCTAAACAGCTATCAAGTACCTCTTGGTTTCCGACAATTTCCTTACTCCTGTCGATTTGTGATCTCTATACCATTCAACAATCTTTGAAACCCCACACGATATCATTAAACCTGCCGTTTTAGCAAAATCTATACTACGTTTTACACGAGGTGACACTGATAACTATCAGCAAGCGAATAAATCCAATACGTTCTGGGGGAGCCGCAAGGTTACAGTAGTTTCCAAAATATTGCCCTGTCATACTCTTTCAGTCGCTTTGCTTTTTTCACAATACTACGAGTTTTAGTTTTTGTGAACTTGAAACAAGAACCATCGAAAACCAAATAAATGATTTGGAATAATGTTCGTTTTTTGAGATGGTGGGGAAAATTTGTTGCTCAGGTGGATGATTTGATGAAGTTTTGTTCTCCGATCCGGATGGTTTGGTCGCTTTGGTAACGTCCAAGAGTATCGCAGAATTCACTTGCAATATAGTGAGAGGCAGTGAACGTGAGCGTCCTTCATAAAAACTTGGATTCGCGTACAGGTTGATTTCCAACAGGGCACGTGGTATTCAATAAAAAAGGCAAATTGGTAAAAGTGCGCATACATGGTACAGATTTGTAGTAATTTGCTTCAAGCATGGTCAAACTAAGCAGTGTACGTGTTTATTGTCTACAATGACTTCCAAATCCCATGCAACTAAAGTTATCTCCTTAATCTGAGTTAGTCTAAGTAATTCTAGATTCGCCCGGCATGATTCCGACTACACTTGAATAAAAGCATAACAAGTCTTACTCCCCCTCTGAAAATGGGTTAAATCTGTGAGGGTGACTCGCAACTTGTCAAGATTGGAATAATTTGATACTGTTTGTGCTGCAGAATGTATGCATTCGTAATATAAAGTAGTGGGGTTGAAATTAAGTAGGTTTCAAGATCCGTTGTAATTCAGCTGTCTCACCTTGGAGATTATTATTATTATTAATAGCTTTATTCAATATTATATTATTGGTACAATATAGAATTCTCAGCACAAAGTATTTCAACAAGTTTCCGTTTCTTTCTTCTTGGTCGGTCCTCGCGATAAATACTGAGTGGTCGCCAGCTAGATGTTATCAGTCCAGTAAATGAACATGGGAATGATGTACATTCTTTTCGTTGTACATTGCCAGCAACCATATTCTCTCTTTTTGTTTTTTTTTTAACTTTAATAACGAAAGGTTGTACATTTTTCAGAAACGCAGCAGTATAGGTTGTGCGATTAATAGACATAATGATATATTAAAACAAACAAAGATAGATAACTTGTTGAAATATCTAGATGGCAGGAACAGGTAGCCCAGATGCTCAAGCAGGCCGCCAATAAGATAAGACCACAGTGTCAATACAAGATCTTTCATTAGGATTGTTATATACAGACTATTAGTTTTGCTTTACGGTTTTTAATAATGCTCTTAAGAAATTTATTAAATCGTGGGATGGTTGCAACATCCTCTTTTCCTCTAACCTTATCTTCTGAAGTGATGATGTTGGTTACTCTTCTGAAAAGATTGAGGCTAGAGAAGGTTTTGCACTGCATAAATGTGCTGAGTCAAAACCAATATACTGTGGTGGTCCCCAAACAAAAGGAGCTTACACAAGATATATTGATACACTAGGTTAACAATGATATACCAAAACAAATTAATGGTTAAGAAACCTAGATGTCTGTCCGTTAGTAAAAACAAAGGTAATAAAATACCGTTAGCAATACAAAAGGTATATTAAACAAACAGACGCTAACAGTTACTATAGAATGAATGTTACTTGTTAACTGCCTCGTGAGGACAACGACCACAAACTGAGTTCACTTGATTGACAGGTGTTCCTCTGCAAGTGACTGCACCAATGACGTAATGAGGAAGACGGAGTCCAATAGTATTATACAATAGTAAACCGCGCCAAAAGTCCAACGTTGAGTCGGAAGGCCTATAATGATGTTATAATACTATTATAGTCTTCAATCAAAACGGTGGCCAATAAAACAGAAGAACAACGGCGTAGATAGTGTTCTATATTTTAAACAACCCGGTAGTAGTGTCGTATATCATTCATCGAAACAAAAATTATCGTCTTTTTAACAAGTGATACAGCAAAACAACAGATATTGAATAAAAATG